GGGGGACAGGCCAGGTGGCGGCCATCCTCGGCGGAACAAGGATGGGGACGGCAGAACCAGCGTGCACAACGCCCTCGCCGTGATCAGAACAGCCACACAACCGGCACAACGGCGGCGCCTCAGTCCCGAGCCACAGGTGCCGAGGGCCCTGATATGGCGGGGACGGGACGGTTCCCCGCAGGTGCCGAGGGCCCTGACACGGGGGGCCGCACCCAGAAGGCCCGAGTGCCGGATGACTGGCAGCACACCGCAACGCCAAGGGACACTCCCAGGAAGCAGCCGATCCCACTTCCGGCGCCCAACATCATCAAGCAGGACCCGGTGGTTTTCCACAAGAGCTCGGTGGGGCTGAATGAAGGGGGCCAACGCCTTTCAGCTACCCCCCTGACAAGTCCAACGGAGCCGTCACCGGGATTGGACATCTTCCCGTGGATGGAGAACATCCCTGAGCGTCTGGTACAGCGGCTGAGATGGACACAGGGCACATCGCCCAAAGTTCCATCCAGTGGGCCCATCATTGTCCTGCTCTATGCAGGCAAGGAAGACCCAACTTCCTTGGACAGCTGTCTTCATGCCAACTACCCACACCTTTCCAGCATGGTGGTGGCGGTAGACATCCTACGGTCTGGACCAAAAGGGGACCACGATATGCTCCAACCCGAGCTGTATGGAGCTCTTTGCACGGCAGCAAAGCAGGGCCGAGTGGTCTTCATTGGAGGAGGACCCAACTGCAGGACATGGTCCATCCTGCGCCACATACCAAAACCGGGGGCTCCCACCCCGGTGCGAGGGCGCACTCCAGAGACACTTTGGGGCCTTCCACACCTGGACCAGGCCGCCCAGACTCAACTTGATGATGACAGCATCCTCATTCTGAGACAGATGTACATCACCAGCCTGGCAAGGGCCTCACGAGCGGCGGTTTCTCTGCCAGGGCCCAGGTCCTTCCTGGAACACCCGGAGGACCCAGTGGTGAGCAGCTCGCTGCCCAAAGCCAAGGAATGCTCATCCTTCTGGATCACAGAGGAGGGGCAGCTTTGGATGGAGGAGAACTCCTTGACAGCAATCTCCTTCGACCAGTGCCGCCTGGGCCAGCTGGTCAAGAAGGCCACTACGCTGGCCACGGATCTCCCGATCCAGGACTGGGATCAAATGCGGTGCACGCATCAGTCACATGTGGGCACCAACGAGTCCTCGACTCTTAGCAGATACCCTTGGGATATGATGGCAGGCCTGGCCAAAGCCATCGCTGTGTCACTCGCAGCGCCGGGGCACATCCGGATCCCCTCACAATTTCCGGGAAACCCCAAGGAACCACCTAAGGGGCGGGGGTCGGACCCCCCGGAAGGCCATTCCCCCCGGGGAAAACGGGGGCCCAGTCAAGGAGGCGGTCCCTCCTCATCACACCAGGGCTCAAAGCCCGGAGGCAAGAACGCCCCGAAGCCCCGCCTGCACGGGCAGTTCCACCCTGAGGCAGACACCGTAAGCCCTCGTGGAACAATGAACCCAGACTTCCCATCTCCCATGCCCCCGATGGCCGGAGATGCGGAACAACTGGGGAAGGAGGGACAGGGGGACCAGGTCCTGGACCGCCCCGAATGCCTGCCCGCTTTCAGGGTCCCACACCTCACTGACCGGGTGGCGATTGTCCAATTGGGTTTCCGCTCACGCCCCCTGAGGGATGGGGGGGGAAAACCTTCCCCAGGGAGGCTCAACCCCCCTTTTCGGAGAATTTCCCCATTGGCTACTTTGGGCGCCCTGATCATGACCCTTACCCGGCCCTGGATTGACAAGGTCCGAATGTCCCTGGCATCAGGTGCCACCACACACCCCTTCCAGGAAGCCGACCTCGAGGAGCTGCGGGCTATCCTAGGACCGAGGCACCTCCATGAACGATGCCCAGGACAACCCTTCCTCCTGGACTTAGTGTCGCACTTGGCATCCCTTTCAGGTGACCCTGATTGGGAGTTCCCCCTAACACTGAAAGAGGGGGTCCCCTTGGGAGTCTCGGACCCTACCTTGACCTCCCCGGGAGTTTGGCCCACTAAGGAGGAGCTTAAGGGAGAAGCCTGGCTGGGGGAAGATCCCCCCCCGCCAGTGGCTCATGATAACTACCCAACGGCTGAACTCTTTGCCAAGGAAATCGAATCAACCTTTTACGAGGAACGAGCCTTGGACATGGTGGACGGGCCCTTCACTCGCTCCGAGGCGGCAGAGAGGTGCCGCTGCAAACCGGAGGAACTTTGCCCGGGCCCCCTTGCAGGGATTGATGAGTCGGACAAGATCAGGACGATCTATGATGGCTCAAAAGGGGGAGCAAACGCACACATCCAGGCTCACACGGAGGAGAAGACCACCGCACCGATGGTTGGAGACTGCCTCCATGCCATCCACTGGCTCAGGACAGCGGCGGACCATCCTCATCTACTCCGAGCCCCATCCTCGGGCACTGATTAGGAACCTCGGGATGTTCACCAGCCGGTGCAGGGGCAGTCCCCAGGTGCCGAGGGCCCAGCACCAGCCTGCCCCCAGGTGCCGAGGGCCCTGATAGGGGCAGGCGGATGATGGAGACCTCCGGCGGCCGACGTCTCTCCCTCAGGGAAGGGCCACTCCCAGGTGCCGAGGGCCCTGATAGGAGGGCCCCATTCCCCCCAATTTTCCAGGCACAGAACGCCCTGGGGGGAGCAGGGGGGAACCCCTGACGTGGCAGCCGCCGACACAGGGGGAAACCTTCATCATCCTCAAGGTGGATGTCACCAAGGCCCACAGGCGCATAAAAGTGCTCCAGAAAGACTGGAAATACCAGGTGGCCTGCATCCAGAACCGGTGGTGGGTCAATAGAGTGGGCACGTACGGCATGGCCTCGGCACAACTGTACTGGGGAAGAAAGGCATCCTTGGTGCTCAGACTCTTGTACTACATCTTCCCTCAGGTGGACTGGCACTTAGTTTTTGTGGACGACTACTGCTGGGTCCTCAGATGCAGCAGGGCGGACTGGGACGCCACAGCCATCCTGGCCACTCTTCTGGCGCTGGGAGTCCCGCTTTCTTGGAAGAAGACGGCGCTCTCCCCGGTCAATACCTGGTTGGGATTCGTGGTGGACCCAATCACGCCCTGTGTGCTGCTGGCTCCAGTCAAGCACGTCATAATCCTGGCCACTCTCAAACGGCTGGCCCAGGGGGACATCTTTACCAGCAAGGAGGTGGAACAAGCCCTGGGCCGGATTCAATGGGCTACTTCGGCGTGTCCATTGACGAAACCTTTCCTCCAGCCCTTTTGGAGCTGGAAGAAGGCCTGCACCACTTCGGGCAGGCCACCGAAGCTGGTTCGTGCTCTGGCCATCCTTCTGGGGAAGCTCTTCAACCAGAGGTTCCCACTGGCATCTCCATTTGCTCCCACACTTCCATGGACGGGGGCATCTGATGCGGGAGCTGGCAAACAGGCGGACCATGCATGGGTTGGTGGTTGGTGCTCGGACGTGCCCAACCCCGACAAGTCCCGAGTGAAGTGGTTCCAACACAGAATCACACCGGAGGGCGAGCCGTGGGCCTTCACTACTGGGGACCCGCAGCGGGCGATAGCGGCCTTGGAGCTCTTCGGCCTCCTCCTTTTGGTGAGGGCTGTTCTGCTTTGTGCAGCCGGCTCGGCTTCTCACACTAGGATTCTGGTTGCTAGTGATAACCAGGGAAACGTTTTCTCCCTGCTTAACGATTCCACTCGCAGGATGCCCAATGCGGCCATCCTCATGGAAATTGTGTTAACACTGCATGACCACCAGGTCATGTTAGGACCGTCGCATGTGAAGCGCGACTTTAACACATGGGCGGATGAACTTACTCATCCGGACCCGCAATTTCCGACTGAGAACCGGGTCTTCCCCTCAGTCGAAAGCGAATTGATCAAGCTGATCTTCGCTACTTTCCTTCCTCACCCATGATGCCGGGAGGGCATCCGGTGAGGTGGGAGGATTCCTCCCTCGCTGTGGGAGTGGCATCAATTCTACTCCCATCAGCTGCTGAGGGGAGCTGCCCAGTGGAGCTGGGCAATCCTCCCATTTTGGCACTAATCCTTATGCGGCGTAAAGGATGCACCGTTTCGCGATTAAGGTACCAGTAGCACCAATGTGGTGCTTTGAAGAGTCTGTTCAACCTTTGAAGGTTACCATCTACGAGAAGGGACCCCCAAACAACCAACCCAACCACCAGCTCAGGGTTTATTACCAAAGAGAAGGAGAAGAAAACACAGCCCTTCCCTGCGTTTCTAGACTTTCGACTCACTTTTCTTCAGTTTCTCGACTTGATACTTTTTGGGTTCGGCTCATTTTGGCGCTCAGCCACAAATTTGGGTCTAATTTTTGGCCGATCTGAGGAACAGAGCAGCGAGTTGGCTTCAGTCGGCTTCCTTTCGCCGTTCCCGCGCCGGGGGAAATCTCAAACTTGGGGAACCTCGAGTTGGTGTCGATCCTGGTCGGTCGGTTTTCCGAACCAACGCCCCAAACTAAGAGCCCCGGGCGTTCGTTTCAATTGAACGGCTGGTTTGACCATGGGAATGGAATGCTAGGACAGACCTCACCATCAATGAATCAATGGTGAACATATTTTGGTCCTCAGTACTAAAATGGGATCGTCTCGAAATAGGGGCAGCCCCAAAATGGAGTTGTCTTCCGATTGGCTTCCCTTGCAACTCACCTCCAAAAGGATGGCCTCCAAAGATCAGCAAACCCAAATCCACGCTAAAATTGAACAAGGTGATCATGAGTTGCCCTTCGCCACATGAAAAGAATACCGAGCTTCAATAGAATCCAAAACACAGACTGATGCCCGCAAGAAGATCACACAGAGTTAGTAGGTCGTTGAAAACCCCAGCAATCCACATGCAATTCCCAGTCGGCTCGATTCTTTGCGAGTGACACAGATCTTCCCAAATTTTCCCTTGCCCCTCCCCCTCTCCCTCCCGTTTTGCACCCACAGCCACGTCTCATCGCCGCCTCGATGCGCCAGGGCCTTCTTGATGCGTTTGGTGGCCTTCCAACAGCGACTGGAGCGCAAGCGCCTTGGGCATGTCGGAGAACCATGGGGACTTTTTCGGCGGGTTTCGCGTGGGTTTGGACCTGGGGTCTCCGGATCTGACCCTTGAAAGATTGGGTCAATGACCAACCATGATTTGGGGTAATGACTCGTTTTTTTTTTGGGGTCATGGACGCACTTGTGAAGTTTGGACGTGCTGGCCAAGCCAGGAAACTGGGTGAGGGTTCAAGAACCAAGGCCTGGTCGTTTTGTGAAGAGAGAAGCCAGCAGGAGAAGGGAATGAACCAATGTCTGGTGAATAAGTGGCCCTAGTTGGGAGTGCAAACAAGTTACTCTGCAGATCAGCACGGAACCCCAAAACCCGTCATGTGTAGAGGAATCACCTTCTGGGTTTTCGGGTGACAGGCTTGGAATGTTTGTGGTCTCCAAGTGAGCAACCCTCCTTTCCCGTCTGCCCAACTCATCCCTAAAAGGGTACATGCTGGTCTCCCTTGCTCATATGTTGAGCTCCCCTACAGTATAGCTGATCCCAGGCTGCCCGAAGGCTTCCAGGGCAATTTGTGTTGCGAGCACCCAGAGTCCAGCCAGGGGTCAGATGCGCATTAATCTACCAGTTTAATCCAGACACTTAACGACTTTGTGGTCTGAGTTCATGTTTGCAACCGGTTTCTTGTAGTTGTTCTTGCCGTGGTGCCCAAGCCTTCACAGAAGCGCACGTTTGAGGCTTCGAGCTTGGGTTTGCTCCTCATGGGTATCTCAGATGTCACCTCGTGCATTCTGAGCACGCGGCGCAAATTCATTGGTGTTGTTCCTTTTGTTTCCCTTGCCATTCAGAAAGGGGACTTTTCAACATATTCACCCAAACGCTGCGTGCGAAATGTTCCCGAGAGCGAAGAAACGAAGTTCGAAATTCGGGGCCAGACAGATGGTGATTGAGCACAATGGGTACTTCCGCCAGCGTAGATGTCCTGGGGGGTGATCCCAACCCAACCTCATGCGGGGACCCCTAGTAAGATGGGTGATTCGAGGTTGGCAGGAGGCAAGAAGATAAGGCCAACTATGTTCAAGTACGACCTTAACCGGCTGGCTGGGGGGGGGGGAGAGGGTCTTTGGGAGACGGTTTGCAGGGGTGATGGGTTGGCCTGTGCCATTCGTTGACCCAACAGGCCCGGAACCTCGTGTTAAAACTGGGTGGCTTCTAGCAGATTCTGCGCTTTCCGAGAGTCCCAAGCATGATTCCCCTCCATGCCACTCCCCTGGAAACCCACCAACCACCCTACCCCCAACCACACCCCACCCTACCATCCCAGAGGCAAGGACTTTGCTGGTGGAGCCCGGCGAACGTGCTGCGCCGACACGAGCCCTTTGCAACTGGACCGCGTGGATCTTTGTATTTAGCCTTGAACTTGTTGGTTGAGCATGTGGTGTTTTCCAGGTAATCAACACGCAGTACCTCGAACTTTCTGGTTGAGCATATGGCGTTTTCCAGGTTATCCACACACAGCACCTTGAACTTGTTGGTGGCACAAGTGTCTTTTGCCGAGAGTCAACAACAAGTACCTTCGAACTTGTTGGTGGCAGGTAACAAAACGGTATATTGAACTTGATGTTCGAACATCTGGTGCTTCCAAGTAAGAAAAAAACAACACCTTGAATTTGTTGAGCATGTGGCGTTGTCCAGGGAATTGACAAACAGTACCGTGACTTTGTTGGTCGACCATGTGGAGTGTTCAGGTAATTGACACACAGTACCTTGAACTTGTTGGTTGAGCATGCGGCGTTTTGCTGGCAATCGGAGAACAGTACCTTGCACTTGGAACTTGTTGGCTGAACATGTGGCGTTGTCCAGGTCAAGTCTTTTGGTTGAACATGAGTGTGTTTTCCCCACCAACTAATCCAGTCAAGCTTTTTGCACCGTGAATTTCCAAGGCAAGTTGCCCTGACAGCTTCCTCCACGGTTGCGCGCAGCTCATGAGCAGCCGCTTCTGCCGCTCGGCTTTGCAAGCGGGCGCATGTGTTTCCCGGCGACCGCGGGAGTGAGGTCACTGGGGCCGAAAACACCCTGCGGGTATCATGTTAATTGTGAGGAGTGTGTGTGTGTGTGTTGTAGGCGTGTTCCTGCTAGCAGTATTATTGACTCAAGGTGGTCTCAAGTTCCCCAACATATTTGATCAGTTAAGCCCTTGTAGGTGCGGACGGGTCCGCCCGTCGGTTCGCTACAGGAGTTTAAGCAGACCTTGTTAGTGCCAGGCTGTGTTTTTGTGACTCAAGTGGCTCGGTAGAGCTGGAATGGTATTTTCCTGTGCCGTTGATTGTGCTGCTCCACTTGGTCACACACGAAAAATGAAAGCAGTAGTTGCTTGAGTGGACTGACTTGGGGAGAGAAGGACTCTCTTGTCGGATGTGTCCAAATAAGCAATCAGGTGGCAAAACTGTTGACGACCAGCGAAAGGCAGCACAGCAATGAATCATGAACCGGCAGCCTCCATTGAGTCACGTATGGCTTAGAGGTGTCGTGATTTCCGTGAAAAATGTCTTAGGCCTTAGGTGTCTATGCATTCCGGTATGAGGATCATGTTGTTTGAAATGGCATCCGTTTGGGCTGCTCCTTCGCGCAGTTCCGGAATGCACCAAGAATCCACGGTTGCATCTGAGCAACAGGAGCCGATCATAGCCCACTTAACAGGGCAGCATGAACGAATATTAACGACGTTCAATTGCTTGCAAATCCTCGTACAAACAGCATCTGGGGCAACCGATTTTCCATTTGGGCACTCTCCAAACCATTTCTGTGTTTTCGACGCGAACCACCTGCTGGTTATAATTCCTTCCCTTCAAGTCTAGAATAGTCCTAATTCTAATTGAGTCTCGGAGTTGAACAACTCTGGGATAATTTGTTGAGAGCTTTCTTGCTGACAGCATCCACTCATGGGCAGGCTTGGGGAAGTGGACATATTGTAGTTGGGTGAAACTAGATGGCACAAATCCAGCCCATTTGGTTTTCATCACCCCCCTTGTCGACCAGAAAAAGAAATGCCATCTCTTGTTTCACAGTGCGAAGCTGGCTCGCCAAATGGGTAGACCCCATGGTGAGGTGTTCTTTGTCCCCGTGCAGCGGGTTCCAGAAAAGCTTCCTTGTTGTTGTTCCACCTTTCAGGTCACCGGATTTTGGTACCTGGACCCTGAAACTACCCCTTTACATCACCCTATATCTTTGGGTTGCAGAGTCCCATGAAAGGTTTTTGAGGGTCCAGGTGCTGCTCCCTTTGGCCTTCCGTCTTGGCGTGGCTCAACTCAGGTCTGCCTGGCGAGGTGATTGTTGAGGAGGCGGACAAGGCAGCTCCGCTGATTTCATGAACGGACACCCATTTTAGATTGACCCATGGCCATATAAATTACGACTGTGTGTGTGTGTGTTTTCAGAGCATCCTTCTCGCTTGGCAAAAAAAAGGAAGCCACCAGGAAGCAGACTCTTGGAGGTCGCCCTTTGACACATACCCATATCCCTAGACCCTCAGAAATGTACGGAGAGTCCACATCATTCAGTTGAACACCTTCACATGGTTTATGGAACGTAATGTAAAATGAGGGGTCAAGTTTTAGCACGAGCTGACTGATTCGCGATTTGCATGATCTCACCCATGAAGATTCTCTTGCGACGGTTCCCATGTTACCTTGTTTCAATGAGTTTCAATCGGGAATGCCCTCGAAAGTGGACATAAATACCCACCTAAATCATGTCCACCCAAGGGTCCCCCAACTACACATCACACACGTTTAGGATGTTAGGTTCTATGCTCAGATCCTTTTCGGCTGTGATCCCTTGTTTTCACTCGATCCCAGATCCCTGGGGGAAACAAAACCATCCGGACAGAGAATGGAACTCCGCATAAATGCGCTGACCTTCAAAATCAAGACCAAACAGGGCAAAGCCAAAAGACGCGCGAAGGAAAGGTTCGCCCATGTTGACTGTGGCTCCTGCGGGGGGACCACTGTGCGTTCGCTGCTTTGGCGTCCCTGTAAGTATAATCTACCCCTGAGCCGTGACCTTGGCCCACCGCTGGAGCTTCCACCACGTGCGCATTTGTTGGGTTCATACTCTGCATTGTGCTATACACCATTGGCCTGAAGAAACACCCTATCTCACAGGCGAGTGCAGTTTGTGATGTTTATGGTACCTTGCCGCAGCTGGGTGCACCGCCCAAGATCCCCCACCTTCCATGAGGCCATTGTAGCAATTGGTTCTACCTGGTATGATGTCTTCCACTAGGGGTTTAATGGGATATACAGCCACCGTATAGCCACCATATGAGGGGTCGTCCCAATAATTGGGGGTAGTGGTTTGGGGGTGGTGGAACCCATCTTTAAGCCATTGTAGCTATACTGTCTTGTTTGGCAGCAGTCGATGAGTTTCGGGTGCCCGCTTCTCACATCTCCAGGAGCAACCTTACAGGCCAGGGTTTGTCTCTGGAAATTCTCAAACTGGGTGTTTCTCCATTTGGTTCCCCATACCCTGCAAAAACCAGGGGACTCCAGAAGTTTCTTAAGTAATTTTGACCCTGGCTCGGGCAAAACAGTTACTAAGTCATGACTCAAGTTATTTTCTAAAGTACCCCGGGGCCACAATGCCATTCCATCTTGTCAGGCCACACTGGTTTGGATTGGTAGTTCGGAGGCTTGAACCCCTTCTTGCAGCGGGTAAATGGGAAACCGCCCCTGAACATCCTTACCGCCAATGCAGACCACCAATAGAAGGAAGCTGAGACTTGCTTGCATTTGCCGAAGAATATCTCTTAGTTTTGCCCTTGTGGCCTTGAAGGGAGTATGTCACTAATGCACATCGTTCTATGTAGGGGGCAACAAAAAAACCGACTGCAGGCCTGGGATCATAGGTGTCCTTTTGGTTTGGTTAAACAAATCGAGGGCGGTTCCTGGTTTACCTCGTGGTTCAAGCATCTACCAAGGAAACCCATCAATTTTCCAAAAAGGACACCTATGCCTGGGATGCGTTTTGTTGGAAGGCAGCTGAAGAATATGTCTGATTTTTCCCTGTTGGCTTCAAAGGGAATCTATGACTATTGCACATCCTTCTATTGTTGTGCCTGGAGTCTCCATGACCCTTTAAAAATGGGTCCATGACCAACCTTCTTTTGGTTGTCGACCAACCATTTTCAGATTCGGAGACTCCAGGTGTTTTCGTAGGGGGCCAAAAAAAGAAGCGAAACGCGCATGGAGGCGGAAAACAACGGATGCGTAACGGACACGGAAGCGGACGGCAGGTGGAGCACGCCATGATCATCGAGACCGGGGTGGCGCGGGTGCACCAGCAGACGCGCGCCACGCTGAGGGGCTGCCCCGATCGCACCGGGGAGGTGCAGGACGCGGCCTGGAAAGCGGGCGGTTGGCTCGGGGGGGGGGGGGGCGGTCCCCAGCAAAAATTGTATGTTTTGCCTGGTTGGTGGAAAACAAAGGGACCCCTTGTTAAAAAGCAAAAAAGACCATAGGGACCCCAACAAAAACAAAGGGACCCCAAAACAAAGGGACCCCAAAAAGGGGAGCTAATTCTGGGGAAGAACAGTGCGTTGAATTCCAGGTCCCTGGCCGAAAACAGAGGGCAAAACAGCAACTTAAAAATGGTTTCCAAGCGATTTTTTTCTTTTGGGAATTTCTGAAAGTGGCGGTTCTTTTGAATGGAAACCGCCAGTAAATTGGAACTGTTGGTTTGGGGAAATCCAGTGACCGCTGGTAAAAGATTGCTTAAGCAGCTGTTATGTGTGAAATTGTACAGGACAGCGGAGTTCGTTGGCATAATTTGTTCAACCAGCCCCTGTTTAACAGGAGGGGGTCAAACGATAGTAGGGTTGGTTAAAACGGGTGTTGAATCTAGTGGGGTTGGGCAGCAGGGTGTTACGGGAAAGAGAAGGAGGTTGTGTAAACAGTGGTTACCATGGCTTGATGGGTTCAATCGGACGGTCGCACTGTATGAGCCTCTCCCGTTTCTTTTCTTCAAGGGAACCGCACAGGAGGCTGTGAACCCGCAACGCCAAGCCCCCGTCTCCCAACTCCCAAAAATGCTTCAAACTCCATGGCTTAAACAAGGGCTTGGTCTAGTCTGTCGATCCTTCCCTGTGTGAGGTTTAAACCACAGTGGTTCAACCTCCATCCAGCTATAACGACGTACCCTTGTGACGTTAGACATGATGAAGGTGTCGTTCCTTTCACAGGGGTCCCTTTCAGGTTGGTGAATTGATGATACCTGGAGTCTCCACGAGCCTTGAAAAGTGGGCTCATCTACCCAAAACCAAAACAAGGGTCACCCTATTTTTTTATAATGTTTCCCCCATATTAATCAACTAATAAGGGGGTGTCCCTGGGTTTAGTAGTGAATCATCACTGTTGGAGGGGAACCCCCCTCCGATTAACAAATTGGAGTTGATAAATATGGGTGCAACATTAGGGTCAGAAGGAGACTTCTGGCGATTTATGTCGAACAAATTGGGCTCCAGGACAGCTACCTGGTGGGCAGCATCAGCAACCTGGATGCGAGAAGTGAACTGGGGTTGATCGCAACTTCGGGGGTGAAACGCCATGATGTAGACGTCCATTTCTTGGGGATCTCTTCTTTCAGGTGTGGATTCCTGTTGAAGAATGTGGCAGATATGTGGAGAGAACCTGCCATGGTCGTGGATGATGGGGGGGGGTTGGGCAGCGTCATGCTTTAATACCAGGCTCCAACCAATATCCTTGGTCATTTGACATTGAATCCACTGGGTCATCCCTTGGGTTCGGGGTGCATTCGGAAGCTTTGGCTTCATATCCAGGAGTGGTGCCGTGAGAATGAATTGGAAATTGGCCCGTCTCCTGAAGGTTCCGCTTCCGTGGGAGTTTGGTGGCAGGTGGCTGTGGTGTCGCCCGTTTGCTTGTCGGCTTTCTGCCAAACGGCCCATCAGTTAGCAAAGATGCGCACTCGTAGCAAACATATGTGAAAAACTTGAGAGACTCAAGGGACTTTGGGACTTAGGAGGAGTCCGACTATAGCTGCTCTCCCCTTCAAATCGTATTGTATTTAGGGTAGACTGCATTTAACCCACTAACAGTTAAGCTTTTCGCAGGGGATCAGTTTGGACACCCAGCAATTCAGTCTGAGCCCGTTTCTTTCAATTTTCTGCACCCAAAGAACAGCCGCGCCTTGGGTGAGGTGGAGCCTACACCTTTGCGGGAATGACACGACGCCTGGCCACAATCAAGGCGTGATGGGCGCGCATATATGGCTGGCTGGTTGGAAGTATCCAAATTCGCCTACAAGGAGCGAGCTTCGGAGCAACCGGAAGTTTGGTCAGGATATGGTAGTATGGTTTATCAGAATTAAGGACCAATTCCTCCAGCTGCTTGGCTTCCTGTTGGATTCTCTCCAAAACCAAAGCCAGAGGAGACCCTATGTGAGAAGCTCCGTATCTGTTCGCTGAGAGTGAGTCGTGCCACTCTTTTGGAGCAGGTGTTGCCAGAGAGATTTGACCTTTTGGGGGCCAATGGCAGACTAAGCTATTGCCACATGAACCCCCGAGACATGATTGGGCGACCATGCAGAATGTCCTGCATGGTCTGTACTTCATAATGTTGACTCCATATTAGTCAACCCCAGTTAGCAAATATGGGGTGTTCTCCACATTTCAGCCAGGGACACCCCCTATCAATAATCTGGTCGGTTGAGTTTTCTATGGGGTCAACATAAAAGCCAGGCTGTGACGCTGTGCAAGATTGTGGAGATCCCCATCAGCGGTATGATGACACTGCAACTTGGTATGTTTAGATGGCAGATTTAGATGTATGCTGTACCTGTGTACATTCATCTAAGGGCCGAAGTCATTTGAATGGGGTTGTGGCGTGTGGGGGACTGTGAACCCCAATTTTCTCATAGGCATAGAGCATAGAGTCTCCTTTCGATTGAGGTGAGGCACCGGACTACGTGTCAGTGGCACCCTATCGGTCTCACATGTATCGTCACACCCTGGGCGCAGCTGTTCGGGGAACTAGAAGGGGCAGAGTTGCGGCCATGCCAACATTCGGAAGCGGGTTGGTGGCTGCTCGATTGCTGAGGATGTACCTTTTGAGGCTACCCTTTTGCAGGTTTGTAAGGGAACCCAACATTCTAGTTGAAGCCTCCCCATTCTTTCCAGTCCTTCTTTCAGCAATCAAAAGCTCAGGGGAAACAGATCCGGTTTTTGAAAAGAACCATGGTTGAAAAGAATGGAAAAGGACTCAACCCCTAGAAACATGCAAAACAGCACCCCGGTTGGGTGTACAGGTCCAGGTTTGTAAGGGAACCCAACATGCGAAACACCCCCCCCTCTAGTTTGTGGGTCGTGTTTTCTGATCCCAGGCTGGATCAGAACTGGGAGGCCAAGGAGAAGTTCCGGGAGATCGCGGAGCGGCGGTTCAAGGAGATGGCACCGGAGCCTTTGGAGGAGCATCCCTTCTTCAAGAGTTTCTTCGGCTGGAAGAAAAAGAATCGCGCCGCCCCTGGCGCGCGCTTTGGGGGATGGCCCCCCTTCGGCCGGAGGAGGAGGACAATTCGGGCCGCCCCTTCCTTTTTGGGGGTCGTCGAGGTCGCCCCTTCCTTTTTGCCTGGATGTTGTTTCTTCTGCCAGGGGGTCCTGTCGTTGAAGAGGTGTTTCTTCTGAAGTTGAAACCTCAGCCTCGGCTCTCGATGTGTTGTGTAGTTTTTCAAAGACGACGGACGGGGACACACAAAAAGGAAAGGTTCTTCAAAGCTCAAAATAGTGCTCTCAAAATGACGGGCTTCTGTTGGTTTCATCAAGGTACTGTTGCCGGGGGGTGATCATTTGCCTGTGCCATGTTTGTTTCCTACGCATAGGGCGTTTTGGATTCCATGTTCAGAAAGGGTGCGTACTTGGGGCCTTTTGAGCCTTCCGACTTTGTGAAACTGAGTTTACGCTGGCGCCGTCTGGGTCCTCTTGGAGATTGCATTGGGTACTCTGACTGTTGGAGCAGCGTTTTTGTACACGCACACACAGAGTCTCCCATGTAGAAGAGTGTTGAGCAGGATCTCTCAAATGACCTCGTCACAGCAGTTGCGCATTTAAAAAACAAAAAATAAGCACAGAGGATTGCAGCCTAAAAGCCTGCGTGTACCAGTTGTTGCCAAGAAAGCATAGGCAGAGTTAAACTATTTCTGCACAAATCGACCAACGTGGGCTTGAGTTCAAGGGTTGTACTCTGGCGATTGGAAAGTTATTGAAGCGAAGCATTGGCACCTTCTTTGTGTGTGGCCGGGCTTTCAGAACTTTGTCATTTGGGTGGCGCCAGTCCGACACCGATGGCATGTGCGTGTCGTGGGCCAAGGCTTTACCAAGTCCTTTCTCAACACGCTTCGCACCAAGTGCAATGCGCAAGTCTTCTTCACTGGGGAGACGATTCTGAAGCAGGGCGACTGTGCTGAAAGCGGCTCGGAGAGCAAGATTTGAGGGAGGAGCTCACTGGCAAGAATTTTCAGAGGGTGGACTAAGGAACGTCTCCTGAAAGACACAAACCCAACACTCAAAAAAACCCAGGTGCGTGTGAGTCGCATTGAACTCCGGGTTTGCTTGTTTTTCTTCAATGGAACATAAATGGAGCCAAGAGACGGGTGGACGTTGCCATCTTTCCCTCAGTTGGACTCACAAGAAACGGTTGCTATCGTGGGGCCAGAGAAATCCGAGCGCTGGACTATGTCAGGCGTAGGCCAACAGGTAGATCCATAGACTACCTAGAGAAAAGGGAGTTTGCCCCACAATTGTGGGGCAATAACCTATTTTTAAGAGCATAGGAGGGTCCAGGTATACTTGTTTTGGCAATCAACTCACCTGACTGGAGGTTGGAGGATCCTCACGTTTGTGATGACTCTGTGAATGACTCGATTGGCATAAGGCAAGAGACACAAACATGGTTTTGGTATGCAACACGGACCACGCTGCAATGGCGGGGCTTTGTTGGGGGCCCCTCTTTGCTGTTTGTCCCGCCTTTGAAAATTCAGATATTGGTAAGGCATCTGCTGTTGGATGCGCCGCAAAACAGCACATGCACCGGAACTGGGCCAGCGATGGCAATGGAAGCAACATGTGCCATTAACTTCGTGACTGTTGGTCCTGTCCTGTTTGACTTGGTCAAAAAAAGTCCAGCTCGACACCTTTCAGCCATGCCAAGCACCTGTTTAGGATGGCTCCAGAGAATAGCCGCTGAGTTTCAGGGCTTGCAGCAAAATAAGGCACGCTCTGGCATTGGTGTTTGAATGTGAGACATGATCCGCTGCCCTCACTCTTTCTTGGTTTCCGAGAATCAACAGGCATAGTATGTAGCATCATGCTTGTAGGGATTTTTGACTGGTAGGTGTTTTTTGTTTTTGGGAACCAACAAGACAGGGTGCCCTTTTCGTTTTTTCTACATGGGAATTCCACACTTCTGAATATATGGGCATGTGTCAAAATAGCGGGCAACCCCGCAAACTGTGGCTTTCTGTTTGGTTTCCCTGAAAACCAAGCGGCACATACACGGAGCCCATGGCGTTTCAAATGGGAAACGAAGCTCCACACCTCCAAACTGGGCTGACCACCGAATGAGGGAAGCTGACTTGGGGTTGACCATTTGTAGCGGGGAAACCATCGAATCCAAAAGTTGGACATGGTCACTCAACAGCTGGGAAGCTGACAATTCGGCGAGTTGATATCGGGGAAATCAAAGATACATCCTACCGTTTTGAGGGTCAAATGAGACAACCCCATGTTATCTTAAAAGAGGAGACACACCCCATGGGTGTGTCCTGTTGTAGGGGACCCCCCGCCGAAAAACAGACAAGGTGTGGTTTTCTTTTCGTTTCCCTTCACAACCACAAAAGAATGGGGTTATCTCCAAACGACTCCAAACATGCCTCCAAAACTGAGAGACAAACCCGATCTTCCTCAAATGAGACAAGACCCTGGCCGCGACCTCACATGAGAGACAAAGCTCCTGCCTTGCATTCCCTGAACCTTGGGATTCTTTCAAGGAAACCACCAGTTGGATTCCCTTCAAGGAAATCACCAGTTGGATGGGCAAAAGGGATTCCCTGAACCTTGGGATTCGCCTTATCGCCAGTCAGGCTTAATAAAGACCCACTCCAAAGTTGCTGACTTAGCGCCAAAACGAGTGTCAAAGGTCAAAGACCCCAGGTGCTCAACAACACCTCCCCCATTTTTCTGACTTTGAGATATCGCTTCAAAAGAGGGTCCATATTTTTGTTCAAGGACCCTAGACCCCAGTTGCCGCCAAAAAAGACATATCCCCAGCAGCTAAAACAAGACTGGCGCTTTTTGTTTTCAAAGACCCCAGCTGCAGCCAAAACCACAAAAAAGAGAGCAACTCGAGCAATGCGATTGCAGCCAACAAAAACATATCAGCAGCCAAGAAAATTAGAAAAACCGAGGCATGGTCATCATCAGCTCCGCCTCGGTGGTCACCATCTTCGTGGACGGCCGGAAGCTGAAGGAACTCTCCGGGGGTTGCACCCTGGGGGTGCCGGCGATCCTCTCGGCGAAACCGGGGAATCTTGGAGCGCTTGGAGCGCCAAAGAGGGGCGTTGGTTTGGGGTGGGCTTGGGGTGTTGGTTTGGTGGGTTTGGCTTGGTATGGCTTGTGGGTTGGTTTTCTTTTTTTTCTTTTTTATTTTCTCTTTTTTTGGTGAGCCTTGGCTGTTTTGGTTGGTTTGGTTTGCTTTGGTATGGTGTGGTTGGTTGGTTTGGTTTGATTTGGCTTGGTTTGGTGTGGTTGGTTTGGTTTGATTTAGTTTGGTATAGTGCGGTTGGTTTGAGGTTGTTTGGGTTTGCCTCTTCGTTTGGCAGAAGGGACCTGCTGATTGGTTTTACGGGCGGGTGCCCCCTTCGAATCACGCCCTTTGAGCCCTTTGGACAACATCTCATCCCCAGCTCGCAAGCCCCAAGGCTCCCTGGCTCAAGCAATACTAGGTCCCCGACTAGTGCCCTTGTATCCCTTTTGGGGGGAGGGTTCCCCTACTAAAGTAGAACACCAAAAACAAATGGGTACCCTCATTGTAACCTCTGGCAAAACTACGAGTAGTGTACCCCTGGCCAACCATCAGGAAACGCGGCTTGAGAATCCCCCCACCTTGCAGCCATCAGCAAGGGACCTTCGGCTCGGGTCCGGTTGGGCGACCCCTTTGTCTCAGGAAGCGCTTTGCCACCATCGTGGCCCAGGGCGCTTGCTCCGTGCAGACCCTCACGCGGAAGGAGCTGTTTGTTTGTCCGGGGTTGGCGTCAAAGGGAACCTAAGGGGAAACCACATGGCCATGGGTGAAAATCCAAATCGTACCCCCAGTGAACATCCCAATCCAAGCACTAAACTAGGTTTTAAAATGGGTGGTGAATTCACCTACCCCAAAATTGTACCATTGGTTTTGACCCACAGCCACATGAACCCGTGCCATTTTGGGCGTCGTTTTTTTTTTTTTTGTTTTTTCCACGCTAGGTGCTTGGCCCTGAAACCACCCAGAAAAATAGAAAGTGCTCAGAATGGACGTATGTTTGGTGCACATATTTCGAGCCACAATGTCGTTTGATGTGTGGTCGTGTTGGCTCGACTCTTAAGTCTTGCGGGTTGCCACAGAAGGGGAGCCTTTGACCTGACAAGATGGTTTCAAGTTTCAGAACTTCTGAAAAGCTTGGTTTCCTGCCAGGTTTTGACTCCATCTACAGTTCCCTCCTGTCCACTAACGCCATGGAACCCACCAGAGCGTCCATTTGAAAGAAACGTCTTCCAGGACCTCTCAGCCAGTTTCCATGGTAACGTGCACAGGAGAGCATTGGGAAGTCCAACAAATACCTTGGTCCTTGAAATGAAGCTGTCTACAGGATCTTCAACAAATTCCCATTGGATGCACCGTTTTCAAAAAAATCCTTTTTTGAGCTCATACATTATGATGTTCAAGAGAGATCACATGAACACATCTTAAAAGAGACATGATCTTTTTGGGAGGGGGAAGCGTCCATTGGGTACATGTCAAAGCACAGGAACCCCTAAGGTGGTCAGCTTCGCGGCAAACCTACTCTCTGAAAAGGGTATCCCCCATTCTTTGTGGAGGGGCTGTTTGTTGATTCAGCGCTGCCTGTATATCACCCCAGCAAACATGATGTTACAACCCAGCCCAAAAAAGGGACACACATCGTGTCTGAAAAAGACGCACCTATGCTCAGAGCGTCCAAGTAGCTTCTAAGGTACGTACTTCGACACCTTTTTACCCCGAAGCCATCAGGAGGTACCAAGGCACCCTCTGGGAAGGTTCAGCGCATGTTTTTTCGGGCAGAGGAGCCCTTCCGAGAACAAAAATCCAGGACTGGCGGGACGCGCTGAAGAGCCACGAGGAGCACAGGCACTGGATCCAGGACTTCACCCACGAGCAGCTGGAGGCGAGTGGTTGTGAGCCACTTGAATTCGACCCCTGAGTTCGCCCCCCTTGTTTTAATTTTGTGTTGTTTTTTTGGGATCCCTTGGTTTTCCACTAACCTGGAAAAACAGTCATTTTTTTGTTTTGTTTGGGTCCCTTGGTTTTCCACTAACCCGGAAAAACCGACATTTTTTTTATTTTTTTGGGGGTCCCTTGGTTTTCCACTAACCTGGAAAAACAGTCATTTTTTGCTTTTTGGAGTCCCTTGGTTTTCCACTAACCTGCAAAAACATGCCGTTTTTTTGTGTTTTCTTTTTGTTTTCTGGGGTAGACTTAGGATACATTTTACATTTTACCAGTGACTCAAATTGAAGCAAACAATACAATATACATTCTATAACTGGGCCTAAGTCTAATCATTTTTTCTTTTTTTGGGTCCCTTTGTTTTCCACCAACCAGGCAAAAGTATATAAGTTTTGCTGGGGTCCTAATTCCAGCCAAGTGTTGTGGCGACACGCATCGCGTGAGAGGGGCGGCTCGCGCCTGGGGTTTTGGTACCCCACCCAGAAAACATGGCTGAGCTGACTGGGAAACGGAGCCTTTCAGAACATGTCCAGACCAGCCGCGACGTCAGGTTTGTCAATTGGTAGGAAGAGAAGGGACTGTTTCTGTTTCCCGTTCTTTGCGGCGGGTCCTTGCCCTCCGGAAACAGATGCGGATCCGCATCCGCATCTCAGAGGCAAACAACAAGAACACATCGAAGGCAGAAACTGGTTGGTGGCTTCCCTTGAACTTTGTGCTGAACGTAGTTTCGTCAGCGGGTTTAGCTTGAATTGCCACAAGCCTTAACCACGTTTAGCCATTCTCCAGGGTAACGTCCACCATCTGTTGCTGCCTTTAGACCGGCGACTTGGTTTACCTTTGGAGCAGGACCTCTACGTTCAAGGGCGTGGGGTCAGACTTGGCAACATCACAACTGAATGGGGGTGACTTTGGTGAAATACTGCGGCCAGTTGCCTTGGTGTTGAGGGTGGGAAACGAACATCTCTGCAAGGTGTGGTTACGTAGCCCAAATGCGGCCTCGCGCTTCTGGCAACCAAATCAGGAAACCAGCATGTGATGCCCAAGGAAAACCAGCATAGGAGTCAATAGGGAAATCGGAATGAGGAGTCATTGCCTCTGAGAAAGTCGCAACCGCCTCGCCTTTCTTCCATTTGCTTAACCATTTGCTTAATGTTTTCTGTCCTTGTTGGTTTTAAAGGGAACCTGTCACTACTGGAAATATGGTTGTTGTTGTTTTTTTTTTCCCAGGGGGCGAAAAATGGAAGGTTTGGTGGCTTGGATGTGGAAGTGGTCCTTTTTTCAAGTTTGGTGGCTTGGATGTGGAAGTCACGCTTTCAACAGGAAAATCATCATTTTGGGCGGGGGTCCCCTAAGGCAAGACGTACCCATGTGGGGCCCCAAACCACCAATCCAAGCTAACATAGGCTAGCCCAAGTCTTGTCCCCCAGTGGATTCCCCCCTTTTGGTTTTCCCTATTTGTTTGAAGGGTTTCCCTATCAAACAAAGAACAGGGTGCGCAAGTTTGGCCCTTTCCGACTGCCTTGTTGGAAACGTGGTATTTTCCTGTAGCAAGCCTCGAGGTATGTCTCTCTTGGGAGAACCAAAGCATGGATTTGTGTTTGTCCCAACCAGTGAATTCCAAGAGACTTACTTGAGCTGCAAAGAGTTGTGGCTAAGACATCACCGGGAAGCAAGTTGAACGGGCACATGAGCCACGAAAAAAATATTTGGTCGACTTTCTTCGGTTCGTTACAGGCAGTTCCAATCATAAGCAGGTGCAGCCACCCTTTCGGGTGCGCGCATTTCATGGCTTCGTTTTATAGTCTCATGGGCGGAAGATAAGCTTGAGCCAAAAAGCAACTGTTCAACTTTTGGGAATACTGAGCGGGCAAGGAAAAAGCGGATCTTCTATTCCTAGGGGTTGCTTCCCAATTCACCCAGTGGAAGAGAAGGAAGATAATGGAATCCGGAAATACGACACCTGAATCCTACCCTCAAAAAGCGCGGGACACATCGCTCATTTTCAGGGCTAGTTTGAGGGTGGTCAGGGGGTTGGCGGTTCGAAGGTTCGGTTTGGTCAGGTGGCGAACAAGCAGGCGGTGGAGACAGACAGGAGGTACAAGTGGCGGAAGATCCAGGAGTGATGGATGGGCGAGAAAGTATGTTCAGCATCGCATCCCCCCTGGTCCCTTGCATTGCCACACTTAACTAAATGTCTGTTGCCCTGCGAGGTTTCCACAAACTCAACTTGTGCACGACATCGAGGTTTGGTAACCTAAGGGAATCCGGAAGGAGGCTATATATATATAGATATATTCAACAAGTGATCTAACCATGATTTAAGCAGGGATTGCCCCAACCCCGGTGATTGGCGAGGTCAAGGAAGCCCAGGCTCCCCACTTTTTGTGTGGCACGTCTCCGATGCTCATGTTGGGGTAACACGACCTGACTTGGAGGAATAGGTGTTTTTGGTGAGACTTCACATGATTTAGGCGGGGCATTTTCATGTGCCTGTTTTTTCCGGCTTCAGCAACTTCATCCCGACTCACTGATCCTTGTTCAGGTCTTTGCCTCTCTAACTTGTGGCTTCCCTTCAAATGGTAGTGGGGTGTTTTGCCTGCTTGGCAAACCCCTATACCACTTCTAAGCGTGGTTATAAGCCAATCACCAAGTAGGTTGAACATCCAAGTATTCCGCTTCTGGTTGCACGAAGCATAAGCACTGAGTTCACTCGTAGTGTTTATTTCACCAGGGTGTTCACAAGGAACCCATTCCTCCACTGCTTTGCAAGGGGCAAATGAGTTTATCATTGTGATGAGAGATAAACAAGCATGTCGCTAGGCTTGCAAGTGTTTACTTTGGCACCCATGCAAACAGTTCTGCGTACTTGTTGTGTCAACTCCTCAGTTTGTTTTGCGTGGAGGCATGTCCAAACGGTCTGCAAACCTCTCTTGAGATTTGAGATCCTTGATCCATGTCGGTGTGGGGCTGTTTGGATGTCCCAACGCACAGTTCATCCATGCCTGGGTGAAAGTAGATAAGTAGATGGCGCAATTCCCATGGGCAAGTAACGATACCTAAGCCAACCTGGGACATGGGAGAATGAATTCCGCCATCTACGTTCACCCCACTGTGAAAGGCCACCATGCGCCCAGGATCCAACCAGCTCTCCTATTGCCAAGCACCCCCCCAAAAAGGCCGCTCCCCCCCCAATCTCACACCTGGTGCCCATAGGCTATTGCACCTGGTGCCCATGGGCTGTCTGAGGTCTCTTGCCCAAGGTCTACAGGAAGAGATTCCAGGGCAGCTCAGTTCTTCAAAGCGAATCGACCTTTTGACCTTTTGGGGAAATCCCTGTTTGGTCTATTTTTAGTAGGGGTACCAAAAGGTGAGCCTTGTATTGATTGGTCCTTCGGGCAAGTGAGCTGCAGCTCAGGAGCGGGAATCTCAGGCCATCAAGGTGCACTGCAAGCGGAGGCCGGACTCAGCTCGCCACGCACACACCGCTGTGTCAGCATGCGCCATTTGAATTCCGCGTTTCGTTCGCACAGCGTTTGACCGAACCCACATATGATCGATTTCCGTGTTGGTTGTTGTTTGGGTCTGCCTTTTCTTATGCTAAACCAGGGGTTTTCCCTGGTGTCTCCAAACAGAATTCTGGGGGTGTTTGGGGTAGGTTAAATGTGAAGCAGAATCCGCACATTGTGATGCGGGCAAAGGTTTATCCCATGGCTAGGTCCCCCAGTAGTGCCCTTCTCCCCCCTTTTTTGGTTGGGAGGGTTCTTTTACGAAAATAGACCACAGAAAAAAAAGTACCAACTTATTCTAACCTCTCTACTGGAGGACCTGGATGGTCATCCTGGTTTGTTTGTGTCTCCCTGGCCTCAGTGAGACCAAGGCACGTGGGGGTGGCGCCGCCTCAGAAGCCAGCTCCGCACATCGAAGATGAGCTGGAGCGCTGGGAGTGTTTCAACGGCAAGGAGGCAAGTTGCTTCGTACACACCGCTACCTGGAGTCTCCTTCTGACCCTCTAAAAATGGGGCCATAACCCCATTATTTTGGGTAATGACACCATTTGTTTAAGGTCATGGAGACTCCAGGTACACCAGAGCACAAGAATGTTAATTGTTTACATAAAGTGCATGTCACGTTTACAGTTGCACATAAACAAGAGTCAGGCATCCCAAATTTTGTGCTTTGCTTTGGTTTGGGGATTCGCCCTGGTGCTAGAGGGTCCAATGAAAACCACCCAACCTCAGCTTCGAGGGAAGCTGAAGCCAGATAGGCCCCGGAGGGCTTCAGGGGGTTGATTCAGGGTCAACCTACCACTCGGGATGAAGAAACCGGTGGATTGAGGTGGGGGCGACCAACTTTTTGGTTGGGATTTTGGGTTACTAAGATGGGATTGTGAGGCTCTTAGCTGTGTGAAGCGGTCGGAGAATGGTCATGAGTTAGCCCCGTACAAAAGCAGTCAACTACCTGGACCCAACTACCCTTTCAGAAGGGACAACGCACCCTTTCATTGTGGGGCGATGTGGACAAATGTGGTTTGGGTCCAGTTTCTGTGATACCGTGGAAAGCCTTCTGAAGTCTTGGGAACAAAGTAGTAACAAGGGATGGGAACCTCACTTTGGTATCCCGGAAGGGTACCCTGCAACTCACAGCGTGCTACCCAAAAGTAGGTCCATTGCCCAACAGGAGTTTCCTCTACCCGGGTGCTGGGCTTGCAGAACCCGGGACCCGGTTGCCACAGCCCGAGTTGCTTTTGGGCCAAAATCCATCGATTGGAGCCTTGGGGTAGAGATGATGGCTTTGGGTGCACCACCACAACACCTGCTTTCATTTGCTGAAGAGTATATTTCGAAATTTGCCGTCGGGCATCTATCACCACCGGACATACTTTCTCGTTGTTTCCATGGGGCGAAAACGGAAATGGACGCCTGCCTGCAGTCTCCATGACCCTTTAAACATGGCTTGTCATTACTCAAGATAATGGGGTCATAGAGTCATAGGAGTCATAGACCCATTTTTAAAGGATCAGAAACCCATGTTTAAAGGATCAGAAGGAGACTCCAGGTGGCTGTGGGTCAAAACCATGGTACCATTTTGGGTATGTGAATTCACCACCCATTTTAGAACCTATTTTAGTGGTTGGATTGGGATGTTCACTTGGGCGTATGATTTGGATTTTGATCCATGGCCAGGTGGGTAGACGTGTCCGGCACAAAGGGCCGAGCAACAAAAAGTTGATGGCAGTCAGGCGGTGATGCCTCACCTACGACTGCCACAGCTTACATCGCTTTCGCTGCAAGCCGTCCGGGAAGAGGAGGACGAGGCACCAAGTTGGTTGAAAGGCGGTTCGAAGATGTTGCAAGAGTACTGGGTTTTGGAGATGTCCCTTTGGGTGACGTTTTAAATACCTGGAGTCTCCGGATCTGACCTTTTAAAAAGGGGTCCATGACCAACCATTATTTTGGTTAATGACAAACCATTTTTCAAGGGTCAGAAGGAGACTCCAGGTATACATTTAAAGAGCCACATAAAACTATGCGCCAATTGAATCCAAGTTTCCCTTTGGGTCGGGTGACCTTTGAAGGGGAATAGGGAGCCTATCATGTATGCAACTCAAGGGGACAATCAGTGCAGCAAGCTATGCCGATGTGTGTGCGTGTGTGGGTGCGTGCTTTGGGAGTGGTTTTGTTGTACACGTCTTGTGCAAATTGATTGTGTCCGCAAGATCCTCAATCTAAAGTCGGACGCCAAATGATTGTGTTCAAGAAACAGCTGGACCCCCAAAGGACCCCTTTTTTTCCTGCCCGTATGCCCTTTTTTATAGGTCAAAGGCAGAACAGAGGGGCCCTTTGAGTCCAGGTGGTTCAGCGATGCCGTAGCCTAGAAATTTCTGCGACAGGCCTCAAACGCCTCCCACTTGGGTTTCTGGGTGGGTGCTTTACTTTTAGGAAAACCGGCCCTTTTGAAAGTTGCCCTCAGAATCGAAAAAAGGCGCCGAACTCGAGTTAGTTCGTGAAGGGCCCTTAAAAGCAACCAATTATGAGGACCCCAAAGGCAGTCCGCAAGCTAAGTTAGTAGGGAGAGGGAGGTTATTCTTGAAAATGTGCACCGCGCCACACGTGCGGAAGCACGCGGAGGGCATCGTGGATGGGATTTCGATTGTGGAAGGTTTGTGGAAGCTTTGCGGTTTGGTATGAGCAGTTTTGTTTTTGTTTTTTCTGCGTGGAAATGCATAGAGAAAAGATTACAGTAGAAGCAGAAAGGTGTTGCTGCATACAAGACCGCAAGGCTTACTAGAAGAGCAGTTGCCAACAGCAAGCCAAGACCCAAACTGCTTGCGGATGTGTTGGAAGGTTTGGCGAAGGTTCGAGGAAGCTTCACGAAAGAAGAAAACCAAAAAAATGAAGGACAAACAAAAAGAAACAAACAAGAAAAAAGAAAACAAACAAACTACACAAAAGCTGGCCTGGTGTCGGCAGGCAAGTGTGGCACCGGTCGCCAATGGAGCCCAAGCCTACGCAGGCTGCACCAACACAGGCAGAACAAGACTTTCCTTATGTACCTGGAGTCTCCACGACCCTTTAAAAATGGTTGGTCATTACCCAAAATAATGGGGTCATGGACCCAGTTTTTTTAAAGGGTCATGGAGACTCCAGGTACTTAAACTGACTTTCCTTTCTGCGCCAATGCTCGCGCAAGCAACTCTTGCATGTGAAACATGCGCCGCGGAAGGTTTGCGGAAGCAAACGATGAACAACATTTGCCGCAGAACTCCGCAGAAGGGACCTCTTATGCCGCGGCCAGGATGCGGAAGGGTGTGCTGAAGCTTGAATAATGTCCAACGGGAAGAACAACCAATGCTCATTTGTAGTTCCATGTTCCCTCTGTCGAGGGTCGAAGTTGAGATCCAACAGCCCCCTTCTGACCGACGCGCAAGGTTTGGCAGTGTCAAATCTGCTCATCTCTGCCCAACACTTCAGGGGTTCCTGGAGTTTCGATGGCCCTTAAAAAATGGGTCCATGACCCCAGTATTTTGGGTAATGACTAAAGGGTCAAGGAGACTCCAGATTCTTGTTTTATCGAAGCTCTGCATTTCAGGTGCACGCGACCACTTTCGGCGTACCAGGTTCACAAAGGTCAACTCAAGGTGCCCGGCTTTTAAGCATGACTCCCACTGTTGCATTGGCCTTGCATTCATTGTTTTTTTTGAAAGGCACGCCCTTCGATCTCCCCTTTTTGCTTTCGTTTTGTTTTTTCCCCTTTTCAGTTTTCTCAAGTTGACATTTGGGTGGGATACTTCCTGCAGCCATACATTTGACCTTCTCCAAGGACCTGATGGAAACAAACATCACTTGGATCCCCCCGATTTGGTCACATACCCAGCTCATAACCCAAAAATGACGGCGACTGATTCATGGCATGTGCCATCCCACGTCTTCGCTTCCCTTCCCACGCTCCCATTCGCGCCCCAGCCTGCGCACGCTTGAAGCCACGCGCGCAGGCGCAGGAGGTGGTGCGTCTGCCGAGCTCGCGCCGCCACAGCGACGTGGGGAAGATCGCGAAGCGCTTGGACCGCGTGGAGCGACGCTCCGTGCTGGGGGAGCCGGGCAGCCTAGTGGCGCAGCGGTTACCCGAGCGGTTGGGGGATGTTGGGGGGGGGGGGGGGGGTATGTTGACCCCCGTCAACCCCAGTTTAATCATAGGGGGGTGGCCTCCAAAAGTGATACTTCCCCACTAAACCCTGGGACACCCCCCAAATTAATAGACTGGGGTTTGTTAATATGGGGTGAACATTCGCCTGTATCTTAGCCGATAGAGATATGGGTGGGTCAAAGCTAAACCACCAGGAATTGACTGCAGATTTCAGTCCATGGTTCCATTTGCCAGGGTAAGCCATTTTGGGTAACAATGATTCACCCACAGCCATATTGGCAATTGTTCTCATACTTGGACAGGTCCCCTTTTGAAGAAGCGAACTTCTTCCAGTAGTTGGATGATATCTCAACTTGAGCTGCCTACTAATTCTTAAGTGGTTGATCATTCAATGCAGTTTCAGGATAGGTTATAAGACTGGCATGAATGTCGGACTCTAAAACGGTCTACTTTGGCAACCAACTTCCTTTAGGGGAATTGGGGCTTGGCCAAACACATATTTTCCAACTTAAAGCCAGTTGCAGTACATCAGCTTTTGAGACATCTTTTGAGGCAAATGACTTTGCTCCTGGGCCCCGAGGCGGCAATATGGGCTTGCGGTGAATCAAAATCGGGTTGTGAATTCCCTTCAATCCCCAGCATTATCGAATGGTCGGAATGTAGACACTTAAAGTCTAGCAACCTCTTCCCAGTGTGGGGTCCTTTTTTTTCTGCCTTAGCCTTTATTATAGGTGTTTTGTGGGCGAAAACGGAAGTCGGGCCCGGACTGTGGGGAACCCAAGAACATGGGGAATGGTCCATGTAGACCCTCAAAGTCTACTCACTTCCTGACTTTCTGGACTTTGTCATGTTTGGTATGACTATGTTAGTGGCGAACAACAACAATCAGACTCTTTCCGGCCAATCCACTCTGGAAGTCAGGAAGTCGGATCTATAGAGAAGTGACAGTCTACTTCGCAACCTCGTGGCGTCGTTTTTTTTTTGGGTTTTGGTTCTGCTGCCATTGCCCCTCGCCCTCCGAGTCTGCCGGCGGACCTGCCGGGCTTCAGCGACTCCATCTGAAGAGGATTTTTCGGCAAGGAGATGCCCGGAGTGATGAGACTAGGCCCCCCAGCTAGGTGCCAACTTGTAAGGGTTTCTGTTTTGGGGAGGGTTCCCCTACTAAATTCAACTGCAGGAAAAAGGGTACCCTTATTCTAATCTCTCTAATAGACGACCTCCAGTTGTACCTGGCGTCTCCTTCTGACCCTTTGGGCATTTGGGGGTTTCGAGCCTTGATTTGGGGTAGATGACCCCAATTTTGGAGGGTCCAGGTAGAAGAAGCTGCTTTTTGGAAATAGACCCCAATACTTTTGGGGTCCATGTTTCTTTTGTTGGGGATATGTTTGCCTTGGTTGATTCGTTCCCCCTTGCCACGTGAAAGAGTGTTTGAATCTCACGTGAACTAGGCGAAAGCTTTGGACATTGCCTGTGCAAGGGCACCAAAACGCAGCTGTTGGACAATATTGTCTTGGGTGGGCCAAAACGTATGGGTTTTGCTGGCTGCTGGCTATCAGTTTGGGTAGGCCCCCCTAGCTTTCTGCTGCTGGTAGCCTTGTTGCGCTGGAAGGAGCGCATCCAGAATGACCATTGAAGCATTCAAATATCGCCAGCCCATTTTTAGGTACCTGGAGTCTCCTTCTGACCCGAATCAAAAATGGGTCCATGACCAACCATTATTTTGGGTAACCATTTTTTAAGGGTCATGGAGACTCCAGCTAGAATCTCACAGGGTTGCGGATAACCTCCGCAAAGGGGGCATTCTGTACCCCGAAGGGGAATTTGGCGGGTTCGGGCTGCTTGGGGGTTGGCTTGTTCCACATGTTTTCACATGTACTGTATAGTGCTGATCCTAAGAGCCTGAGAGCCGTTGGATTCCCGAAAGACGGGCTTGGAGAGAAATCAATCGCTTGGCATGTGTGGAATGGATGTGACAGGTGTATTGTTTTCGCGCAAGATCAATCCTGCTCAGGGTCCTGCTCCTTGTTCCCAAGATTGTGGGATTCCCCGTCTGGTCGTTTTGCGCGCTGTGTTGGTTCTGTTTGTGTAGCGGATGGACAAAGTCCATCGCACCAGTTGGGATTGGTGGTTTATCAACCAGTATTTGTAGGGTTTCATCTATCGCAAGGTGTTGCAGGATTTCGTGCACCCACTGAATTGTCAGATCATCGGGCGGAGTGGTTCGGTCGGCTTGGGCAAACAGCAGTCCCCAATGCCCAAGCGTAGCATTAGTTGACCGACCGTGGATTGACTATGACAAACAGGCCCGTCTCTGATTCCAGGTTTAATCATCGTGCTGACTTCAGCTGGGATTCTAAGATCGTGTAATCCATGCAGCGTGGTGTTGGCACGAAATCGCAAGGTCCCCAGGTCACAGCTTTGATTCTGTGGCCAGACGAGCAGCGAGATCTCGAGCTGCCTGATGTTGATGCCTTGGGCTGACGTCGAGCTAGCAAACACCAAAATCAGCCCTTCATACGCTTCTATTCTAGTGATGCGCTTGTATACCCAATGCCAGGCTAGTATGCTGGCTTGATCTTGCAACTACCCACCAGGTCCGTGTACTCTGACTAGGACTATGATCCCTTAGCGTTCCTTGAAGAACTCTACCATGGTGAAACAAGTTTCCTAGGACCCGGAGCACATACCAAAAGATGGCCAAGGTGTTGAGCGCTGCTTCACTCACTGGGAGTGTGCGCAAGTGCACCCAGCCGAGGCAATGATGTTTGGTTGGACTGCCAGGCGGGGCAAAGAGGTCCCATGGCATTTGGTGTTACCAGGGCTTATGACTGGGATGATGGAGTTCACTACTCAAACATGGCGTCGGATTGTTGGCTTGGTGGCTCCCAGCCATCCCTTAGCCTTTTAGTTTCTTGGTGTTTGGTGGTAGTTTCCATTCAACCCACTAAAAGTTCAACTTTCAGCGGGGGATCAGAAAGCGGGCAGCCCAGTTGAGTGTGGGAAAAGGGCCGTGTTTTTTTTGTTTTAACGGGGACCGACGAATCCGCCACCTTTAAAGGGAGCTGGCGGAACAAAAACAAAGCTTTTCTTCCAGAGGTGCAGGGATGGCTGTGGTGGTCAAAACCGTTTTGGGATCCCATTTCAGTAGGTGGATTCACCACCCATTTTAGAAACTATTCTAGTGGTTGGATTGAATCGGAGGTTCACCGGGGCTACGGCGTCTGAGTTCTTTGAAACCAGTGGAGCAAAAGCCAAGCGAGATGTTTACCTCTTTGTTCAAGTGGGGGGTACTAAAAAACGGGTATCACAAAAAAAGAAGCAAGCTGGAGTCTCCATGACCCCTAAAACATGGTTGGTCATTACCCAAAATAATGGGGTCCTGGACTCATTTTTAAAGGGTCATGGAGACTCTCAGGAACCAAAAAGAAAACAAAACAAATCCGCGCCCGTGTTCAAGTGGGTTCCAAACGTGGGCCTACCGCCTGTCAACGGCTCAGGATGCCTTTGGCCTGCTGCACGTCGCCCACTCCGAAGGCGGCTTGCAGGTCCCAGGAATTTGAATCGGCGATTGCTTGCTGCTCAGGGAATGAGGGCATGCACCTGGGGGATTCCCTTAACGGAAAACCGATGCACCTGGGGGAATTCCCTTTCTGGAAACCACCAGTTGGATGGTTTTTGTTGGGGTCATTCCAACTCATCCCCTGAGCAACAGCAAGATTGGAATCGGCTGGATCGAGTCAGCCGGAAGCGATTCGGCTCAAGATAATGCACCGGGTTCGCCAGCGGATTGGTACATCCAAGTTTCAGTTGCAATGTTTTTGTTTGTTTTTCTCGGGATGGAGTTAATGAATGATTATCACTTAGGTCCCGACCCCTTCGGATAACTATCTCAGTTGCTCAATAGCACCTTTGTTAGGCCCTTAATCGTTTTTGTTTTCTGGGTTCCGCACCAACTTGTGCACTCCAACCAGTTGCCCTTTTTAGGTTTCTGTTTGGGGCAGGCAACTGAGCTCGGGAAGCTACAGCTAACGCAGAACTCAGCTTAATGGGGGAGCAGTACACGTCGAGTTTGAACACCAACTGTGCCGTCACTTTTAGCATTCGGGTGCCTCCATATATCTTAAGTTTCCCAAACTGAAACCAAACGACGATGTTTCTGTTGGTGTTGATCTAGTTAACACCCAGCCACCCCATGGGACATTCTCAGCATGCTCATAGGTGCTACCTGGGAAACGATGCTACATCGAGAAAGTAGCGAGCTGCAGCTGGGATTTCGATGTTGGTTCCTCCGACCAGACTGTAGACACCAGCAACAGGATCACCATCAATGGAGCCCGGGTATATCTACCTGGAGTCTCCATGACCCTTAACAAATGGTTGGTCATTAGTCAACATAAGGGGGTCGTGAACCTATTGTTTAAAGGGTTTCTCTATCATTGAACTGCGTTGCGAGCACCCTGTTGCTGCTTACCAGACAAGATTGTTTAGCCAACCCATGTGGCGAACCCCTTCGCACTAGAAGTTATGTTCTCTTGAAGGAGACTAGAGCATTGCGTCAAGACCGGCTACGCTGCCGAGGCGGAGAAAATGGCTTGCTTGTGCAAAGACCAAGCCAGACTCGTTTTAATGATATCAGTGGCGCATGACTGTATAATGTGTTTGGCCCGGACATGACCCTTGCGTCCGCTCGAATTGATCCCTCACCGCCTGTGATCGCACCTTCCTGCCGGCTCAGAATTTCAATGCGTGCTCCATGAGATTGGCACAGCATCAGCTTTACGAGTTGCCGCGAGCATGAATGTGTGAGCTTCGAGCGCTTCTTGGGTTATGACTAGTTCCTCCATTTCTTTTTTTGGGATCCTCCACAAGTGACAGTTTCAATGGAAACTACCAGTAAGGAAAATCCAGTGACCCCTGTATGAGCTCGCAAAGGCTTTTTAGTCTGCAGACAGATTCCGCATGGAGCAGACCCTCAGCTCCATTGACAAACGAGCCGACCGAATGAGGGATTGGAAGGCCGTGGCAAGCTTACGAAGCCTTGGTAGCCTCATCCAGAGCTGGAACTGGGTGTCTTTTTTTTGAGGTGTCCGCTTCTTGGATGAAAGACTTAACGGGAGCCACCCCGACTTTTTTGGTGCTACCCACCTTCGGAGACAAGCCCAACTCGACTCCAGAGCTGCAGACGGCCTCAGTCAGCTGCTTGGCCTGTGCAAAGCTGCGGGTCCGTGCTCGCCGGAGGCCCAGTGAGCTGTTCTGGCGGATACTTTCAGAAAGTCACTTGGGTTTGGCTCAGAATTACGCAGGTTTTGATCGTTGTTTCCATCCAAGCAGCCGAAAATTTGGGTACCACAGTACCTCGCTCTTTGAGCCACAGCCTAGAGCAGCGTGATTTTTGCAAGGCGGGAACTGCACCTCCGCATTTTGCGGGGTTGGAATGATTGGGGGAGGCTCGCGGAGGCAACGCTTGCGTAGGTGTGCAAGTAGTCAGGCCCTGAGCCACCTGCTCATTTTGTGTTTTTGTTTTTTTGTTCGCTGCCTTAAACTTGATGTGCTGACTATGGAGAATTTCGGCTGAGTTTTGTTTTGGACCCCTTTAAGGAAGCCTGATTACATTCTGTGTTTGAAGATGTTGGGAAGATCCATTTGCTTGGTGGACAAAGGGTCTGAGCTATTCACCCACCGATGCAGCTTTCGGAATCTCTCCTCTCTTGAGTGGGTTGCTTCCTGAAATTCAACTTTTTGTGGTGTGAGGGTTCCCATGGTTCCCCTAAGAAAGGGTGCCAATTCTTTGTTCCCAGCTGGTTCCTACCCTGATCTTCCAACAAGCCACTGCCTTTGGCTCCTCAAACAAAGTCAAAACCAAGAGCAAAGTCTAGGCATCCTTGGGAACAAATCAAGGAAACTGGGCATCTGAGTGTGTACCAGAGTCTTTGGGAAGACTTCTGTCCTTGTCAGGTCAGGATGGTGCGCCATGCGCCCCTCACTTCAGGCGCGGGTGAGGGCATTGAAATCCACTCATTGCCTATTTGGGGAGTGTAAGGGAGCATAAAATCCAGGGAACCATATGGCAGAGTCTTTTTTTCGGGGGCACCCTCTTTTGTTTGCTTGTCAAGGGAAATCAAAAGGAAGCCAGCAATGTTGGGGGGTACCCTGACAACAGACGAGCCCATATTCGTCTGTAAGGTGCTTTTAACAGAACTAGAACTCTGTGAGGCACCAGGCTGCTTGGGATTTAAGATCCTTCCATGCCATGGAATCAGGGAACTTAGAAGGTCCCTGGCGAAGTAGGCCTTTCGGGACCTCTTGTCAGGCTTTATCTTTCGGGTGAAAGTTTACATGGCCGTGGGTCAACGCCCATTTTAGTCCATTTGAATGGGGATTGGGATGTTCACTGGGGGTACGGGCTTTTGACCCATGGCCACATGTACAGCCTTTCGGAACTACGGGGACCTATGCCCCAGTCTCAAAGTGAAGCTTGTCGCGTGAACTTCTGCCAGGTTCGTCCCAGACGAGCTGCCACGCGGGCGGCTTATGGTCATGTGTGGTTCTGCTTGATGTTGAGACAATTTGAGGCAAGTCAGTGTATGATTCTATGACTGGGCTGCCCAACTTAGGGCGAGCTCCAAAAGAGGAAACTTCGATTTGGGATACGTTCCTGAAGCCTTGAAGCCGGAGCCTTGAAGCCGGAAGGAACCCTCCACGGCCAACATGAATTCGTTAAGCTTGATGGGCAGAGTACTGATTTCGCAGACCACTGAGCCATCAGAAAACGGGTCATCAATGATGGTCATTTATTCATTTCAGCAGGAAAATTGGACACCCATAAGGATTCCTAAAGGGAATGATGTCCCCCCCCCCCCAACAGGGGGTTTGACCCTACCGATTTTCAGAGGGATGCTTTCGATTGCGAGCGATCGAGGCCTGTCACCAGGACCGAAGCGGCACCTTTAGTAATCGATCCTTGGCACATGATGGGACCCATCATTTAAGGAGTCACCATGAGTTGTCACCATGCCAAAGTGCTGTTTTACTCCCGTCATCCGAAGTTTAGCTATGTTTGTTCAAAGCGAACTGGCTGGCTTTTTCTGGCCACAGACCACAGCCATGCCTTTCCTGGAATCCCAGCCTTGTCAACTTGAGTGACTAGTGCTGTGATTCTCAGGTAGCCTCTTCCTTCCGTTCGATTTGAATCAATGTAAAGGTGCTTACCTGGAGTCTCCACGACCCGCAAAACCTGGGGGTCATCTACCAAAAGTCAGAGGCCATCAGTCATGACCCGTCAAAGGGTCAGAAGGTGACTCCAGGCAGTCCTCTGAGCAAATCTGGCACGCCACGGGGGGCCCGTTTCTCTCCCGGACTCCCTGCAGGAAGCAGCGGGTCTCGGCGCGCCAGCCCAGGCGCGGACAAGCTTGTCGGCTTCGAGGTGTAAAGAGGGCTCAAAGGCTGCCCGACTCCCACGTTCGTGCTTGCGCGCTTGCGTGCGCGCGTGCGTGCGTGCGTGCGTGCCTGCGTGGGTGTGTCTGTGTCTGTGTGGGCGGGCGGGCGGGCGGGCGGGCGGGCGGGCGGGCGGGCGGGCGGGCGGGCGGGGGTGTGTGTGTGTGTGTGTGTGTGTGTGTGTGTGTGTGTGTGTGTGTGTGTGTGTGTGTGTGTGTGTGTGTGTGTGTGTGTGTGTGTGTGTGTGTGTGTGTGTGTGTGTGTGTGTGTGTGTGTGTGTGTGTGTGTGTGTGTGTGTGTGTGTGTGTGTGTGTGTGTGTGTGTGTGTGTGTGTGTGTGTGTGTGTGTGTGTGTGTGTTTGTGTGCGTGTGTGGGTGGGTGGGTGTGTGGGTGGGTGTGTGGGTGTGTTTTTCTTACTCCCCGATGTACCCCGCCGGATTTTCTGGACTTCATACTTTTTGGGAAGACGAGCAAACACTTTTTTTTGTTTATCCGCGAAAGCGAGTTTGGAGGGCTACGCTTTTTGCGGCGGTGTTTTTTCAATGAAATTTGAAGAGAAAGCCGCCATGCTGGGTCCCCTGTTTTAGATCATCAATTCCAGCGATCCTTCTTTTTTCAATAATTATCAAACACGAAACAGTCCGCCCTTACGAGCGCCGCCTATGGGGCTATTTCAAGAGAAAGCCCAGACATAGCTGGTGTTGCCGCAGATTCAGCAGGAAACCCGCTCAAGAGAACCCACCATAGGATGAAGCACACACAGGGATCTTGAGCACTTCCAGAGACTGATTTGATTTGGACATGCTACCAGTGCTCCTTACGGGAACCCTCGGAACAAAAATAAGAAGGAGTTGTTTTCTTGAGCGTCTCTTCACAATCTTCCGGGGCATCTGAACCCTTAACCTTATAAAATATTATAAACATACCAAATCCTGTTGCCCTAAGGATCCTGATGGATTTTAGCTTACCAAAGGATCCTGATGGGTCTTGCCTTCGGCTCCCCCAAAAAAGACGCGCGTGTTTCGAGACCCCCGGATTTCAGCGGGCCCCCGGGGCTCGCGGGGTACGGGAAGTGGCTGTCGGCTTTTTTGGCCAGGCCGCGGGCTCCCTGTGAGAGGCCGACGAGCTGAGCCAGTCGCAGGGTTTGGTGAGCGCCAGCTTCCGGAGCTGAGCCTTGAAGCATGGGGTCATGACCCCATCTAGGTCCCTTGAGTAGCGCCCTTTTACCACTTTTTGGTTGGGAGGGTTTCCCGACCAAAATAGACTACAGGAAAAAGTTGGTACCCTTATTCTAAGCTCTACTGGAGGACCTCGCCATTTTTGCAGATGAAACATGGGGTCTACCAAAAATCAGGGGGTCATGACTCATGCCCCCATGTTTGCAGGGTGAGATGGAGGATCCAAGGCATGCTTTTTCTGTTAAAGGTGAAAGGGACACCACAAGGAACACCTTTCGGGTCCTGCCATTTTCAGAGACATGCCCATGAAGTTTAAGGAACGGGGCAATGGGGAGAAACACTCCTTCGCTTCATTTGAAGGCCGGTCCAGCAGCAAGCATGGCACACGAGTTGGCTTCTGCTTGAAGAACTGTGTGCTTTCCTTCAATACGTTCCTACCATCAGGTAAGCCTCACTTGGTGGTTTGGATTGGTGGGTCTGGCGATTTGAACCCTTGGTTCTTGTAGAGGTTATATGAATAGGAAAGCTGATTCCGTGCACATGCAGCCGCGCTTTGCAAAAGCGCAGGCCCGGTCGAAGCCAGGACCGGTACTTGACAGGGAAGGGTTTGGGGGATCAACCTGGGCAAGTAGTGACCCTTTCAAAGGGGAGGTGCGACCACTCCCATGATGCAGAGGTCATTTCTTAGGAACCCGCATGTTTGCTTCGGGAATGATTGTCGCACTGCTTTGGGTGAATCTTCCCAACATGATATCTTGCCAGCAGGTGTTGATCTCGTATTTGAGCCGGTCAATATGTTTTTCTGCACAGATTTTCAGGAGGGAGAAGGAGGATACCCTCGACTCAAGTGTTTCAATGATTCCTAGCGCAAGGACAATGCGTGAATGTAGTAGTCTTCGTCGGTCTCTTTCGAACTCTCGAACTGAAGGACCCATCTGAGTTTGTCTTTACATAGGGCAACAAAATGGGTGGCCCACTTCTAGTTTCCCTTTGGAAACCAACCAAAAAGGGTACCTGAACCCTCAAACTACCAACCAACAAAACCGTCAACCATCATTTGGGCTGCACTCGCCCATGTTTAAGTTTGGAATTTGAGGGTCCAGGTACCTGGAGTCTCCATGACCCTTAACAATTGGGTTATTACTCAAATACGGGGGTCATGCACCCTTTGTTTAAAGGGTCATGGAGACTCCAGGTACCCTCAGAAACTCGACGCAGCTTGTAGGGCTTCTTCCAGGGGTCGTGCCACTGGCCCCAGCTCGAAGGATGGCCTGGGCAGCCGATGGCCCGGAATCGCGTTGGGCCGACCACGTGGGGCAGCGAGGTGTGTTTTTCGAGCTCTGGGTCTTTGTGGCAATACGGGGGCCCAAAACCTGACGGCTTTTTGTATTCGCGGGGGCCCAAACCCTGAGTTTTTTTTTGTTTGAATTATTTTTGATGGGGCCCAAAGCCTGAGTGTGTGTGTGTGTGTTTTTTGAGATATGTTGTTTCTGAAATAGCCCGTCTGAAAAGTGCAGCCTCAACCAAAAGAACACAGAAGCAGAGATACACACATTGCACAGGCCACACACAGCACAACACAACCGACCACACCACACAACCCCACACCACACCACACCACACAACCCCACACCACACCACAGCCCACCACACCGCACCACACCACACCACACAACACAACAACACACAACAAAACACAACACAATACACACACACACAGACGCACACGCGCGCGCACTTGTCTTTGGTTCGCTCTTCAACCTTCATTTTTTTCGGGCAAATGACCATGTTCCCACTAAGCACACCGGTCAACTTTGCGCAAGGGGTGAAAGACCTATGCATGAAGGACTGCCCCGAATAGGCGTTTGGTGGCTGGTTGAAGAAACAGGAATGGGTTTGCTGTAGGAAACACTACGACTCAGACAGAAGAACAGCAGGAAGACAGAATCATAATACTGTGACAAAGCGATCACAGACAGCCGTTGGGCATTCTGTGCATTGGCGAGGCCTGATTTCCTGAATCTGCCTGGCAGTTCCTTAGAATCCTTGTCATACCTGCTGGCTACCGACATGGGACCTGTGCTTGCGGGATACTTGGTGGAGCTGGTGATCGGTGGAACTTGCCCAGATGAGTGTCAGTGTGGCACGGATGATGTTTGGTGAGCATTGTCCTTGTGTTAGACACTTGCCAAACAGAGCCTAGTGACTTAGTGGGCCGTTCTTTCCCTATGGCTTCTGGGTGTCAACATCAGAGCGATTTGTTGAATGATCGTTGTTTTGTTGCAATGCTTGTTGGTTGCTTGAGTTTGCTGAACACCCATTGAATCAAACCATATCAACAACTTGAATCATCCATCTACACATCTTTGAAGGACCCCCCCACAAAACAAAAACCACCCGGAAAGGATGGCTCAGCGAGGCGGCCTGGACAAGAATCCACATCCTGGCCTCCCGGGCGCCGGGGAACTGGAGCGGAAGACTGGTGCCGGTTTTCCCGTGCAGAACATGCCGTGCTTGTCAAGTGGTCCCCCGGCCCAGTAGTGCCAACGTTTTCCGTTTCTTTGTTTGGGGGAATTCTTCCCCTACTACAAAGAGAAAATATAAGAAAAGGGTAGCCTTATTCCAACCTCTCTACTGGAGGACCTAGTTGTCGTGTTTTGTTTTCTTCAGAAACCATGCTTTACATAATATTGGCAACGATTAGTTACATATCCATGGTGAATGCAGGGATAGTTGCAGTGACAGTTGTACTGCATATTTCTAGAATGTGCCTGTGCAGTCAAGTTGGCAAGAGATGGTTCCGCTGATTTCACTGCATGGTTCTTATCATTGTCAAGGGAATTTGATCAATTTTGTCCAAAGGGACGCCTGGGCAAAGACCCCTTCCAGTTGGAATGCGAGGCTTGAAGAAGGGAATCCTTTTAGAAGGGTCTGCTCACAGCCTTTGGCTTTACGAGCAAGGGACAATTGTTGCCAGGGCATGGTTTTGCCGCTTGAGGAGCTTCTGTTTTAAGTGGCCCCTAATTTTTTTTGATAGTAACGTGGTCGGATGTTATGCAGACCCAAGCCACGGGGTTCCAAACCACCAAGACGAGGATTCAACTGGGTCGGTTTTAAGAAGTGGGCCCAACCGGACGCTATGCACGCGAGGACCAGCATGTCCATGTTTGTGTCCGAGTGCTGAGCTCAGAGTGCGAGTTGTGACACGGGTGTGTCTTTGTTTTTCGTGACCCCCGCAAAAGTGATGGTTGGTTTCTTGCTAAGCCCGCAAACCTGGGTTCCCCCCAAACAAGCCGAGCCACCCATGTGTCGGACGCCGGGGAAGGTGTTTTTCTGCTTCCCCAAGTCAGGCCCGTTGAGGTCTTTGGAAACCGGACTTCCCTATGAAGCAACCCGCAGGGGTTCCCTCAAAACGACGAATCCTCAGGTGTGCTGCAATCCTGGTTTTTGGAGTCTGGTCATCAAGCTACGTAGGAGTTTGCATGGAAATCCAGGGTGGGAAATATGACCATTGCAACTGGACCACGCCACTGGTTTTGTTTGGGCCGTACTCAAGAGTAGCTTCTCCTCACAAATCAAATGCAACACCTGCAGAGTTGTGGGGGTCCCCCAAAAACCCGCCATGTTTGGGGGTCTGTTAAAAAAACAACAAAACACAACAACACCCAATTTGGACGATCATTCGGTTGGCCTTCTGCGGGAGGGTACCCCAACGAAACCTGACCTATTGGGACATCGCTGGGACAGGTCCGCCCCATGGCGACAGAGTCCGAGGGCCAGGCCAGTCTTAAGATGGCCAAACATGACATGCTAGATTCCCCAGTGCCGTGTTACCCCTTTTTTGGGGGGGAGGAGCTCCCTACTAAAATAGTCAACAGGAAAAGTAGGCACCCTTATTCTAGCCTCTGTGCAGGAGGACCAGCATGACATGGGCATGACATGGGGTTCATGGGTTTGTCCCGAAATAGGGGAACCCGACAACTTTGGCTTCCTTTCAAAAGCCATCCCAAAAGGGTAGCATGATAAAAAGACACCCCGTACGTGTGGGCCAGTCACAAAAGTCGACTTTGCCAGATTTGGAGGATTCCCGTAGTCAGGCAAGCTCCACGGCTTGATGTATCCTTCAAAAGTGTTTTGGGGAGGCGAAAATTAACACCTGGACCCGCCTTGAACATGTGAAATCCATATTGTAGGATGTCCCATTTGAATGGGTTTGAGTTGAGGCTCCACGCAGATTTATGCAACACATATGCTTGGTGGTTGTTGTCCTTAAGTTTCATGTCACTCGACTGGGACCCAGTTGAATGACGACCATTTCCCAAAATGATTGGTGGACACAACTTTACGGAGTTGCCTAGTTGGGTGACCAAATGGCTGAAAACACCTGATCCACCAGGTTGGTAAGCTGCATACACTTTTCAGAGATTGCTCAGTGTGACTCCTGTGAAGTCTTTGGGGGGGGGAGGTCCTCAACTTATAAAGGTTTGTAGGTTAGAATGTTTTTTGCCCAGATGTCTTGACTTCGGTAAAGGTTCGGTCTTGTTCCTGCGGCATGTGCCGGATATCTTCCCTCCCAACCATGACACCTGGCACGAATCTGGTGCCGGCCGCTTAAAGCTCCCTGCCATTGCTTCAGGCCCGGCCACTTCCCAAGCCATGTTCGCCCAGGGCAGGTGATGTAAAACTGGAGCTGAGAATGCCATGGAAAACCCTGGGTTGCCCAGTGGCGCCCCCTGTTTTTTCCGGGGAAGAGTTCCCCCGAAGAAATTCAACAACAAAAACAAGGATGCCTTTTTGGATTCCCATGGAAATCCACTGGGCATCTGAGTACCTGCATACCTGGAAGGTTCAGGGGTACCAGACCGACTCCCTTGACCTCCGGAGGTCGTCTTTTGCGACCTGGATGCGCCCGGGAGCATCCACCTCAAGCTCTGATCCTAGTCGGGTCGAGGGGTTTGCAACTCCATGGTTCAACCAGGTGGAGTTGTTCACCTGGGCTCCTCGGATCTGACGCCTCAAAAATTTGGGGCCATGACCCTTCTATTTTCTGTTTTGGTAGATGACCGACCATTTTTTTAAGGGCCAGATGTGGAGACTCCAGGTCTTCCTGCCAGATCTTTATCTAGTTTTCCCGAAATGGGTGGGTTCTCGGGACTCACGCGTGGTGCTCATTTCTCCAACCGGATCCAACCGGCGAACAGACGGATCGCTCCAGCCGTCGGTTCAGGCCCGAACGGACGGGGCCCGAGCCCTGGTGACTGCAGCGAATCTACTGGGGGCCCAGTACGCCTTTCGTCCGAAATGGCCATGGGTCATAACCTACGGCTTCATTTTTGGGGCGGATGAACACCCATGTACCACCTATTTTGTTCACCAGGGGTACAGGGTTTTGACCCACAGCCAAATACCAGGGGTGCCCATGGCGTCTTTTTTTCCATGTCCGCCTGGGCAAAGAGAAACAAGTCCCATGTCCGCCTTCGGACAGCGCTTCTTGTTGCTCTCTTTTTTGGGGGGTAGCTCTCGTGCTGTTGCTTGTTGCAGGATCCCGAGGTTTTGCAACAGCCCCTGCTTTAAACTTGCCGAACGGGGTGCTATGAATATTTCCAATCAATTAATTTCAGAATAATGCAGCTTACAGATATGGGGTTAGACTTGTTGCACAACTAGTTGTCGTTTGCTTGTTTTTTTTTGCCCGTTGTGATGTGTTCTTCTTATGTTTTCTGAACTGTTTTTGTATGGATGCTGGCATTGGCTTCCCAACAAGCCTTGTTTCTCCTCGCTCCTGTGTACGTCAGGAAGCAGGAGACCTTCATGTTTGACACAGTCCTTCCCAGTAGCGCTGGAAGCTCAGGGAGAGTTGAGCATCTGTTGTCCGGCAAAAAAGGGGAGGGCCTTCAAAATGTGTGTCTTTGCAACCCTAGGCGCCCCAACGTTCGGAACGAGCGTCTGCCCCCGCGGAAAGAGCAACCCTAGAACAGGAGGTTGCAACATAGGACACACCAAGCTGATGACTATTGCACCAAGGGTCGAAAATCATATCCTTGGATCGAGAAAGGGAACAACTCGGCTCTCATGCATAACCATGGCATCTACCATGTTTACCGGGAGCCTTGACCATGGGCCACGAAGCAATTTGATGTGCAGCGGCGTTGTGGGACTGAAGGCTTATATATATATATATATGTAGAGTATGTATGTGTATATGGGTGTGTCTTTTTCGGGGGACCCCCAGAATGGTGGTTTTCCTTTGGCTTCCCCTTGAAAACAGACCAGACAGGGGCATCCAAAAGGACAGACCCATACAGGTGAGAAAGCAAAAGGGGAGCCATGTTTTTGTTGAAGGGAAACCAAAGGAGAGCCGCCATTTTGGGGGGCCCAAGTCCGTTTGACTCAGCGATTTAAGGCGGGCCAGGCGGCGGTCTACAACCTGATCGGCACCTTGGCCAGAGGTTTCTTGGGGCGCCGAAAAGCACCTGGCTGCCGTCTTTTCTGAAGTTGGTACCTCTTTTTTGGAATGGCGTTAAAGGGAAACCAAAAGGAAACATGATTCCTTTTTGGGGGGTGCAACCTTCAAAAAGGCACACCCAACTGTTCTTTTTGAGACTACCAATGCGCATTTGTTTGGATTTTCCAACAAGGAAGCTGGGAAAGCCTCCTCACTTCTCCGGGTTCGCTTCCAGAACTAATTTTGGGTTGACTACACATGAAACATAATCTGAGCATATTATTTTTTCTGCGCACCCCAGATGTGGGCCAAGTGTTGAAGCTTGATTGGGACAATTGACACAAAGACGTTCCATGGAGGACGCTGGGACTTGTCCTCAAATGGAGCAGCTCTTAGCAGAGCCAATCCTCAACGTGTGCCCAATGGAGCGCTGCCAAACAGCTGAATCCGCTACTTTCGAAGGAACACACCCTGGGCTGTGCGTGCTTCAATCCGGCTCTCAGTTGTCGCAGGGCGGACAGGCAAAGTATATGCATTGGTTTGCTTGTCTTGTCTTGCGGGCGGCCTTTTTGCGGATCTTGTAGGGCCTGCCTCTCAAGGGTTGTATTCCCTGGAGGCTCCTCTAAGAGTATGTTCATATTTTGGGGTTAGACTGAACATGAAACAGAATCTATAAACTGATAATTATTAATTATTCTGGAAACGCCAGATGTGGACCACGGCACCTTCCGAAGTAACTACAACATGTGAGCTGACTCGAGCTTTCGAGGAAGTCCTGTCCTTCATCGCCTGATGAGTGGGCCTCCGCCTCAGGCCATTTTGCAATTGGAAGCTTGGAGTGAGTCAGCGGCAGCGACGTTTTTGTCGTGTTGTTTTGTTGTGGCTATCCCCAGGCACAATGGTGGCCCCAAAACTGGGTCACTGGAAACCGTGTACCAGAATTCAGCCCACATTGGAGCTTGTTGGATGTGTTTGGTGATATGTTGCAGATGCTCTAAGCTCTTTGTTGGCTTTTGCCAGGACTGCATTACCCAACGCTTCTGTGTGTGTGTGTGCCTGTGTGGATTTGTAAGTTGTAAGCATGTAAAGTATGTATAGATATTTCGCTTGAATGGATCAGTTTTCTCGGGGTTCTCACAATTTGGGGCCAATCTACTCAGGAAGTGAGGCTGTCGATCCCAAAAAAAAGCCACGCGCTCCACCCCTCAAACGAAGGTACCACGGCTGCATCCTTGCCTTCGGCCCCACCGGATGCGGCAAGAGCCACACCATCTTCGGCATGGAGGCACCTGGGTGTGTCGGGTCGAATGCATAGGACCTACCTGGAGTCTCCGGATCGGACCCTTTAAAAGTGGCAGGTCATAACTCATAACCCAAAATCATGGTTGGTCATGGACCCACTTTTTTAAGGGTCATGGAGACTCCAGGTGCATAGGAAACGGCGCCATGAGATTCGATCAAAGTGGACAAGATCCCCGCGTTGAACCCTAGGAGTACCCGCCCAAGTGCGGAAAATGCTCGCCTTGAGAGGATTGGATTCATTGTTCCTGGGATTCCTAGGTGTCATTTGGTGCAGCTCGATCTCAGTTCTATCAGAAACTTGTGGCTGCTGTGTTGCTGCCTCTTGTAACTATGGACTTAGTTAAGCAATTGCTCAAATATTGCCTTGTTCCATCAGGTTATGCAGTTATGCTCTGTTGTCCAGGACATTATTATGCTATGCTTCCAATTACAAGAGCAGACACAGTAGCTGCTCAAATGCAGATTCTGGCGTTCTTCCAGCGGCGGAAGCTGTCTGTCAGAATGGCCTCAGTCTTGGAGCATCCCATACGTGAGCCCCTCGGCATAATCGGGGTTGGACAAGTCGGAAGATTGGGTTGCTTCCCTTTAAGCAAGGTGACTTTGAGCATGGCAAATTCATAGGTTGCCAGTTTTCAAGGCACAGCCACTTTATTGCTCATCGGCAGCGTAATCCTGTCCGCCCGCCGAGGTCGTGAAGCCAACAGCACTGTCAGCAAACTCAGGGAACACGCACAACATGGGCATCTCATAATCGGTGGATCCCAGAATATGGTCGGTTTCCCTTTCAATTTCCTCTTCCAACTTGGATACAAGGAACGCAAGGAAGACGGTTCCCCCAACAAAAGGGAAAATGAATCCGTTTAATTACATTAAATCCACTTGGGTACGAGCCAAAACAGGGCGGCCAGGGATGTTCCCTTAAAGATCCCTTAAATCCGATCAAAACCACGGGCTCCCTGAGATCCTTGAAAAACCGGGGTCTTCCCATTTGGTTTTCTGACCCGAACCGAACAGTTCAACGACTTACCAATCCCTTCGTTCGTCCGAAACTGAGTCGTTTCCTTCGCAGATGGCTCGAAGTCCGGCATTCGGTTTTTGGGGTGAAGGGATCGGTCACTCACGGCACAGCCAAAACATCCAAGCATTCCCTCGGCACCTTCGCTTATGGGCCAAAAAGCGATCACTTGGTGCATCTTCAGAAGCTGCCCGGACCCTCAAACTGGACCCAGAAAAAGGACGATCACCCCATCATTTTGGGGCAATTTATCTCATCATGGGTGGAATTGGGAATTGAGGGTCCAGGTGGGTGGGTGTTTTTTTAGGGACGCCCTTTTGGTTGGGCCTTGCAGGGTAGGCAAAAGGAAAACCACGACCCGAAGTCTCCATGACCCCTTAAAAATGGATCCATGACCAACCATAATTTTGGGCAATGAACCCATTATTTTGGGTAATGACCCCATTTTGAAAGGGTCATGGAGACTCCAGGTACTTGAACCTCCCCCAAAAAAACACAGACCCAGGTGGACCCTTAGGGCATCTTCCCATTCGCAGTCTCGGGGCCTTCTGCCACGCATCGCGGAGAAGCTTTTGGAGGCCGAGGCGAAGCAAAGTCCGCGGTCGAACCCGGCGCAAAGGTGTGTTTGTGTCTGTGTGTCTTCCGTTCTCCCCTGTTGATGTGAAAGCGAAACTATTTTTTTTTTTGTTACCCCTGTTGGTTTTAAAGGTAATCGATGCATCACTACGAAGTTGTGTTTGTTTGTTTGTTTGTTTGTTTGTTTGTTTGTTTGTTTGTTTGTTTGTTTGTTTGTTGCTTGCTTGCTTGCTTGCTTGCTTGCTTGCTTGCTTGCTTGCTTGCTTGCTTGCTTGCTCGCTTGCTTGCTTGCTTGCTTGCTTGCTTGCACCTGCCTGCCTGCCTGCCTGCCTGCCTGCCTGCCTGCCTGCTTGTTTGCTTGCACCTGCCTGCTTGCTTGCACCTGCCTGCCTGCCTGCTTGCTTGCACCTGCCTGCTTGCTTGCACCTGCCTGCCTGCCTGCTTGCTTGCACCTGCCTGCTTGCTTGCACCTGCCTGCCTGCCTGCTTGCTTGCACCTGCCTGCCTGCCTGCCTGCCTGCCTGCCTGCCTGCCTTCCTGCCTGCTTGCTTGCTTGCTTGCTTGTTTTTGTTGTTGTTCCCAGGCGACTTGAGCAACTCAAGGGTGTGGTTTGTTTTGGATAAGGGAGCCTCGCAGTTTTTTGGGTACCCAGCTTAGGTTTTCCCATCGGACCAACCCCTATAGGGACCAAGAGGCCTTCTAAGGTCTTCGCCCCAGGGAGTCCAAGGACCGCTTTTGGGGCGTTTAAGGGGTTAATGTACCGTCTAAGAAGGCGCTCGGACCTTCCTTTTTTTCTCGGTGCGGGGGAAGGGGGTACCCTGTTTTTGGGCCGCTTTAAAGGGGAAGGCATAGAGGAAGCAACTCGATCTGTTGGGTTGCGACGCAGCGATTCCTATTTTGAGACACATGGTGATTTTGGATGGCCACTCATTGTGACTGTTGCCCGTGGTTTGAAGGAGATGTTACCGGCTTGCCAACAAGTTCTCAGAATTGAACTCAGCTAGCACTTTCGTCACTTCACTCACTTCAGATAAAAGAAAATCCTTTGGGATCTTTGGGAATGGTTTGCTAGTGTCGGTGAAAATCCTTTTCATCCCCCGTTCATCAACCAGAAGGTTTTTGACCTTGCTCTCATTTAGTTCGTTTGATTGATGCCGATGACTCCAAGTGTCTTGACATGACACGGTCATGGTGTTCTCTAAGAAGTCTTTTCACACGGGTGAAGTGTTTCCGTCTTGAAGCTAACCACGTTGTATGTTGGATCTAGCAGTTGCACAAGGATATGACCATGCAGCTGAGAAATGGGGGGCGGGGGGTTCGTCACGGCTCACTTTCCGTGATGCCAAGGGGTCCAGCTTGCCGTCGAATCGAGCTGGCCCTTTTCTGACGCATCGCAGAAACAAATTCCTCAGCAGAATCGGCTCAGCCCTGCGCACTGAAATTTGTTTGAGACGCCCCAGAGGTCGGAAGCCAGAAAATCGTGAAGCTGTCATACCTTGAGCTCTACAACGAGAAGGCAAGCTGTGCCGTGCCGAAAAACATAGGTGTGTGGTTCAGCTACCTCGGCACCCTGTACTTACAGCCAATGGCAATGTCCTAGACTGACAGCTTCCGCGATGATGCTGTTTCGTAAGTAGGTTCGAACCATGATTATAGGTGGGAGAACAGAGTTTGGCTTGTATCGATGCTTCACGTACTTACCGAATAGGTTGCACATCCAACACGTGGATCGAGGATTTCACAGCTGAAACCTGACCACTCGCAGTATGTTTGCATACACCCAGCGTAGCTCGCGGCCGAGAGGTCACCCTAGCGTTTGGAAGGCGTTTACCCGTCACGAACGTGATTTGGCTTCGCGTGTGGCTTTGTACCATGTTCAATGTGTTCGCACGTCAACCAACAACCACCAACCAGGCTGCAGACAGGAATATCTGAATCTGTTCCGTGCAGATTGTGGCAATCATGTTTGCAGAAGCCAAATGAAGGTTGCAAAAGTCGACTGGTGTATTGCGATGATGAAACCTTCAACACAATGTCACACGCTTGTCGTCCATTAAACTATTGTAATATGTTGAGATATAGGTTCATCCTGCTTGCTTTTTTGTGGTTTATGCCACTCTGCATCATGTACGCGGCAGAACGTGGGACAAGGTCAGGTGAGGTACCTCGTTAGCCAAGCTTTGCAATCATGGAAAAGTGACTATATGTCCAGCTGATGGATCTACCAGTCCATTCATAGAAACAGGATGCATAGGATACGGGCAACTTGAGTAAGCTGTTTAATATGAGAAAACGACAAGACTGCTGGCAGTCTACTAATGTCTGTTGTTGGTTTGAATGTTTGACATGCCCCCGCAATTTGTCCAAAGTTGCTCGTGGGGGCCTTGCCACAAGCGAAACTTCTTCATGTTCTGTAGGGGACCATTGCAAGTTATTCGAACACCTCATTTTTATTTGGCTGGTACATCGTGAATGGAGTGTGCATTTTTGGTGGGTGCCCTTTTTGAGGTAGTTTGAAAGGCACACCTAAAGGAACACGATGTTGGAGTCCCCTAAACTGACACAACCCTATTTGTCGTCGTGTAGTCTACTGGGGGTTGGTGGGTACGGTTTTTGTGAGGCGCAGTCACCTGCATTTCGATTTTGGTCAGGTGCGGGATCTGCTGCAGCCCGACATGCTAGAGCCTGGTAAGGCATGCCGAATAGCGGAGCTGACCGACTAGCTGGCTGACTGGCTGACTGACTGGCATATTTTTTCAATGAAGTGTATAGGTACGTGTCAGAATAGGCGGGAACCCTGGGTTCCAACTGGTATATTCCCGTTTGGTGTCCCTTGAAACCAAGCTGACAAGGGTACGCACTACAAGAACCAGTCTCTATTTGGTCAGTTTTTTGGGGTCAGCGATGCAGATGGGATGTCCTGTGCGCGTGCTTTGGACTCGACCAGAGCTTTGTAAGATGCCCTTCATAGTGGAGCCAATCAAGCACATGTTTTCTACATGTTTCTAGATGAAGAGGTTTCTGCCTGCCATCCGCCATAGGCTGCAAAGGCCCAGATAGCAAGTAGAGCGAGCGGTTTTTGACACAGCCCCCTGAGTTTCCTGGGCTACTTCGGCTGAGTTCCATGGACTTTGGCCCAGAAAAAGAACGGACTTGATTTATTAATTCCTGGTCATTTTTTTGGAAGGATTCGACTTCTGGTTGTGGTAGAGATGTTCTTCTTCCTGGTTTTTGTTTTCGTGGTAGAAGAGTGTTACTTGGTTTGGCCTGCTCGACGGGAGTTTTCCGCAGGTGAGTGCCTTGGAGGTGCGGGAGCATCCGAAGGCCATGGGAATGCCCAAGCATCCACAACGGATTCGGAAACCTGTTGTGGCAATTTGATTGGGATACCTGCAGTCTCCTTCTGACCCTTCAAAAATGGGTCTATGACCAGAGAATGAGCTCATTTTTTTAAGGGTCATGGAGACTCCAGGTAGCTGAAACCCTCTAAACAATGGTTGATAAACCGCCAATCCCAGCGGATGCCGGAATTCGTTCATCCACAGTACTAGTGAACACTGCGTTGAAGTTGACAATAGTCTTAGGTTGGCTTGATGGTTTCATTTGGCGGGCGGGGGTTTGAGCGGAGGACAGTTGTGCGAATTGTCAATTGTTACCTTGTGGCTTCAAAGATCGAAACATAGCAGTGCATGCCGCCTTTGGGATATAAATCCACTGGAGTGCCATGCAACGAGTGATGACACCAAACGGTCAAATGCATTGTCAACGACGGCCCACGACCTGTTTTCACGTGACGCTTCATCCAAGCTACTGTATATGATTGGGGATCGTGTAGCATACGTCCTTGCCACCGTTCCTGCAGGATCACACCTGTGATGTTGTTGCGACAGTATTTTAAACCTGATCGGACATGCTTGCATGCTTAAGACCGCTTTTGTTTGAGTGGGCTTTCTCCTTTTTCCTCAGCCTGTTATTCATTTCAAGTCTGTATTTTCCTTGGGTGTTGCATGGCTTTCTCTGATCACAGGTCGGCATTTTCGTGGACGGCCTCACGCGCAATGCAGTGTCTTCCGTGGTGCCCACGACATGTCATTGGCAGATCTAGACGCTTCAGCCAGGGGCAGTTAGAACAGTGCGAGTTTGTTTCGTCCATTTGATCCACGCAAGCTTGCCAAATGATTTCGTTCAATCTGACAGCTGTCTTGCCCAAGCAGATAGAGCTGGATTGCGTTTTGTGAGCTTAGTAACTTAGCCATGTCAGCGCCACCATTAGTCCTTGTGTCTTTTGAAAGGGCCCCCTGTGTTGTCTGGCTTTCAGAGCATACCTTAGGAAATCTGCCACTCTCTTTCTGACCCTGTTTAAGCATGGGGCCTACCAAGACTAAGGTGACGCCCAGTTGTAAAGAATGCAGACTCAAGTTATTTGGAGACAACCCATCTGGAATTTGAGCATGTGGACTTCGAGGCTTCCTTCTCACACGAGTTCGAGTTGAACCCTCAAGGGGCAGTCTGGCGCGTGCTTTCCAAAGCGAGGCTAAACCTACCAGAGTCCCGGGACCCCTACATGCAACAAAAGGCATGACGCGCCCGTTTTTTTGCCAAAGCCCATCTGCTGTGCCAACTTTGCTTAGCTTGACCTGAAGCTGAGCGATGGAAAGATGCACGCCGGACTACCCGCCAGGAGGATGTTCTTCTTTTGCTGGAGTTCGGGCACAAGATGAGAGTGTGGCACTTGGGATGCATGGGCATTTCTGTAGGGGGTCGGGGTGCTACAGCCATTTGCGAATTGCAGAACAGCTCATTCCAAGAACGTGGGACGAGGTGCTACAAATGACTACTGTAGGTCCCTTGAAGTGAGCATTTCAGGGATGCGGTTGAAACTACCTTTGGGGTGCCTTCGCGGACCTTGTCGGCCGCGTTCCAGGGTAGAGGTGAATTGGTGGGCATAACTCCGCCTCATTGCAACAGGCAATGCGAACAAGTCCAGGTCGCAAAAGATGCGCAAGTCCAGTGGCGGGAAAACCTGGTCCATTTTAGTTGATGCGGGGACTGGTACTGCCAAAAAGGAGTCTACAAGCGAAAACACCTCGCTACTATTCTACTGGCCTTTTAGGCCCCTGATTGTTTTCGAGCACATTGGTAGGAGCAAACCCAGCAATGACATAAAGCTGGCCGGGCAAATACTCGAGCACTGAATAGGGATGCCCAAAACAACCATCCTGAAGCCACGCTCATTTGCAGAATCTTGCAGCATCACGTTGACTTTCTTTTTGTTTCTGCTTGTTGATCAGAGTTCGTGTGACTCAGGTTCTGGGATCCACCCACTACGGACAGTCTTCGCGAGCCCATGCAATTGCTACCCTTTATGTGGAGCAGGCGCGGAAGCCGCCGGGGCTGATTTGATGGTTTTGTTTTCCCAGGCAGGTCGCAATTAGTGCCAACTTCGGATTCATCCAGAGTACCTATAGTGCGAAAAGTTTCCTGAAATATATGTGGTTCCTGCATAGTACGGTCCTCCGGATGAATCAAGACTTAACATTGCTTGCTTGTTCTGGATGGATGCACCGACAGGTACAAGTTGTGTTTGGACTGCGGCCTTGCGTTCACAATGTGTTGGCTTCTCGAAAGGGTTGCCACGGTTCTCGGCTTGTTGATTCTCACTGTTCTCACCGTGTGAAACTGCGGCTAGATTCGAAGGTCTCTGAAAGCCAGTCTTTGCTGTTGTGCAAACTAGCGAACCGGCAAACACCAGTTGGCGAAGCAAGGAATGATCAACATATGTCCCCTGGGTCCCTCTTGAACCACGTGCAGTTGGGAGAAAGGCACGGGGTACTCGCACATGTTTTCTCGACTGGTTCATGGTGTTCATATGAGGTACTGGCAATACTCTCGTGCTTGCGGGATGTAAGAGTCGCGCACATTGTGTTGGACAATCACGAATCCCGGTAAAACGATAAGGTGCAAAAAAAAACGATAAGGTTTTTGGGTGTTTCCGTGTTGTGTGTGCTGGAAAACGATAAGGTTTGGAGCATGGAATGCACGTATTGCTAGCATTTTGCTCAATCTTGTTTGCTCCCTTTCCGTCCTTCCTGTTCACAACCATGGCTTGGAGCATTGAGACCGGGGAGAGGCTTCCGAGTCACGACGCTGAAAACGATAACAAAACGATAACAAAAACGATAACAAAAACGATAACGCTTTTTGACAGAACCCATGCCCGTGAGGAGTTGCCCATTGAGAGGAACTTAGTCACTCTACCCTAGCTTTCCCTTTGATGTCTCCCGGCCATGGACAGCATACTTGTCTTTTACGTTGGAACATGTCTTGGACTCTACGTTGGAACACATTATTGCAGTTGATGAGCGCAGGCTAGCCAAACAAATTGAAGCAAGCAAACGCAAACGAAAAGCATGGAAGGAGCTTGCTGCTCGTGAGTCCGACGAAGAAAGCCCTTGAAGCCACCATGAGAGCTGATGGTCCAAAAATGCGCGAACCCCGGTAAAACGATGAGGTGCAAGAAAAAACGATAAGGTTGAACATACATCTAATGCGTAAAACGATAAACTTTGACGCAAAACCGATAAGAAAACACATGTGCAGCCCATTTCAATTGAGGTTTTGCCGCGGCCTCATATCAGGTTGGTCAGCGCATTTTGCCTTTGGATGGGGCTCGAGGAGACGTGTCGCGCTGGTTTGAATCAAATTGTGATAATTAGTTTGGTTGTCCACTGGTTGTTTCTGATAGAGTTTGCATTGTTAATACACCCCTGATTGATTGATAGGGGGCGTTCTTGCTCAGTAAGGGTTCATCACTTTTGGAGGAAACACCCCTAACAATAGGACAGATTTACCAATCCGTGGTCATGCGATCCCCCGCCCTCTCCGCCTTCAACAATCAACCTCCCACAGAAGACCAGCCACCAAATCATTGGCCAATTGAATGATGGAAAGTTTAACTCAGCACCACAAGTTGGGACGGATGAAACCCAAACATAAGCCATCAATTAACCCCAACGTGTTTTTTTTGGGGGGGATTTCGTCCACACCAAAATTCTGCACCAAGGTGCTGGATTCGGATGGTGCCAGCAGCGTGGCTTCCCTTCCGGGCCAACGCGTTCGCCGACATTCCCAGCTGCAGGCCGTGAAACGCGGCCTGGGCCTGGCGAGCGGCGTTGGAATTGTTGCGACACTTTCTGCGGATGGACAAAATCCATTTCGCACCACCTAAGAAGCATGCAAAGCCATTGTTCGGGAAATAACAATTCCTGAATTTCTTGGGTGGTGTAAAATTTCGTCCATCAACAGTATGAAGCTTGTTTTTGTTCATGGGGATCGCGTATCAAGAATCCCCAAACTTGGTTTGGGTTGGTGGTGGGATTTGAACCTCTGGTTCTTGTAGACAGTAAATGGGGCAAGAAACCCTGACCGCAAAACCACCAGACCAAACCACCAAGGCGTAAGATAAAATTGCTCCCCTCTAAAAACAAATGCGGTTCAAATGAATATGTTGCTGCTGTGTGAACGTACTCCTTTCTTTGCATGCTTGTTGGATTATGCCATTGTTTGATTGCTTCTTTGCGTGTTGTGGTCTGGTGTTATGTTGTGTTTCGGTGTGCCGTCGTGTGGTGTGAGCGTGTTGTGTGATGCGTGTGTTGTGTGTTGCATGTTTTCTCGTCTCGCCTCATTCCGTTGTGTGGTGTGTGTGTGTCTGTGTGTTTGTGTGTGTCGGTGGGTGTGGGTGTGGAAGTGGGTGTGGGTGTGTTGTTTGTTGGATTGTTTGTTTTTGTTTGCTTGTTTGTTTGTTTGTTTGTGTTTGTTTGTTTGTTTGTTTGTTTGTGTTTGTTTGTTTGTTTGTTTGTTTGTTTGTTGGTTGATTTGTTTGTCTGTTTGTTTGTTTGTTTTATCGTGCTTTGTTTTGCTTTGTTTTGTTGGTTTGCTTGCTGGCTTGTTTTGTAGCTGGCTCGCTGGCTCGCTGGTTTGCTTGCTTGCTTGCTTGCTTGTTTGATTGCTTGTTTGCTTGTTGGTTCTTGAATGTTTTGTTTGTTTATTTGTTTGATTGTTTGTTTGCTTGTTTGTTTGTTTGTTTGTTTGTTTGTTTGCTCGTTTGTTTGGTTGGTTTGTTTGGTATGGTTTGTTTGTTTGCTTGCTTGTTTGTTTTTGTTTGTTTGTTTATTGTTTGCTTGTTTGCTTGCTTGCTTGCTTGCTTGCTTGCTTGGCTGGTTTCTTGTTAGTTTGTTTGTTTGTTTGGTTGGTTGATTGTCTTATTTTGAAGACATCAAGAGCTGTGTCTTTGTTTGTCGAATGGATGACTTGCTTTACGGCTTCATTTTTTGATGGAGTGTTTGTTTGTTCATAATCGACTTGTTGGAGTCTTTGATGACATGAGCTGGTGCCAACACTTGCATCCTGTTGTAGAATACGTGCAGTCCGTGCAGCCTTGCGCGAGCCAATGATGACTGCGCAAAACCGCGAATAGCTTGGAGCGGGTGTTTTTTTGTGCCTTTACCGCATATTTGGTCATGATTGTGGGACTACCTAGGGCTTCAAGAACTTGTAAAAGAGTCGTACCCTGACTAAAACATTGTGTTTTTCTTGATTTTCTGAAAACATCGTGTTTTCAGGAAACACGTTGTGTTTTTGATAAAACCCCTTAAAAATTGGCTTCTGAGGCCAAACACTCATTTGGAGCAAAGGGTCAAAGGCAAGGGTCGGGAGTGGAATTCACACAGGCATCACCCATTAAGATTTCAACTGAGGGCAACGCTCTATACTGAGTATGCTTCAAATTCTAAGGACCACATTGATGAGCCTAACAGCCAGGGTGTGCAGCTGGCTTCAGTCTTTAAGTACCTTCACAGCAACAGGCACCTGAAGACTGGCGCCAGGTCATACCGAACCAGTTTGAAGGGGGTGCTGGAATCCCAAAGCTCCTTTTGGTGCAAAACAAGACCAGGTGACACCTTTTGGAAAACATCGTGTTGTCTAACCCGTAGCTAAACCGTGGAAAGCCCGTAGTAAAGCGTGGCAAACCGTGGAAATTCTAGGGGTTTTTCGGGTTCAACCACGAATGCGCTATTTCGAGAATGTTGCTGGAAAACAACGAAGTCGTGAGCAAAAGCACGGTCTTTGCTTGAGCTTGCGCGCTGTTCGAAGCCAGCATGCCCTCATCATGGCATTGGTGCTTGACAAGTGTCATAAAACCGTGGTACTGTTGACTATTCGGGTCCCGGGCCTCCTTCTTTGAAAGACGAGTGGCGAATGCGAAGCTGGTTTCGATACGAGCGCAAAAGGGGAGGGCGATGGGAGATTCTGAGGTTGAGATGATGCTTTTGAGATCTTTTGAGAAAGGATGACGAGTTGATGATATCGAAAATGCGGTGTTTCCCAAAAACATGGTGTTTTCCCGAAAAACACTGTGTTTTTTGTAGGTATGACGTTTTCATCAGTTTTTGAGGCTCCTGGTATATGAGTGTGCGATTCGCAAAATTACGTGACTTGCCAGAGATATTGCTGACAATAACTACGGACCCTTGAAGACACAACAGCACCGCCAATTTCAGTTTCACTCTAGCATACAACCCGTTCGACACTGACAGACCATCCTTGGAGCAGCCCACGTCCAGACTCATAGTTTCAATCTCATGTCCGCATCTCACCAGCTGCCATTTTCTTAGTGGTGCAGTGGTGCTACTCCTCTCTATTGTACATCTTTCTTGCTTTGTTCCTCTAAAATGCGACTGGCTCAGCACCCTGTCACATGTTTCCGGGCAGGCAGTAGACCTGGCTGGTGCAGAGCGACTAGGTGCGAGACGAGCCGGCCACAGCTTTTAAAACGAGGAGAATTTGGGCACATGTGTTGTCCTTTTGGTTTTCTTCTGGTTTCCCTTCAAAACCACCACGCTGCAAACCATCAGCTACGACGTGTTTTGGCCACGTTAGAATTACCCGCAGAGTGGAGTTGTTTCTAAGGGCATAGGCGTGCTGGCCACCAGGCATGCATGCGTTTATATTCAGAATGTAAATCCCAAAAGCGGCCATGGTGTCTTTTTGATTGTCGGGGTGGCTTTAAAGGGAAACCAACACCTTTGGGGGGGCTTGTCCTCTTGGGGAAACCAAAAGGGGGGAGTAATTGAAACAAGATTGGCTGCATCAAATGTTTAAGCCAAGTTTGGCCCTGCCCTGGTAGGGGGGCATGCTCACCTGTCTTGAAGGCAGCTGTCATCAGACTTGTCACAGTCAACATCTTGCTTTCGCTGCTGTCCAGCTCCAGGCAAAAATAGTTTTTTTCAAGTTCCTGGATTGAAGGTTTCTTGCCAGTCAAAATCATTCAGTCACTTTTCGCATTTGATCAGCTTGCCGCAAGCTTCCAATTGTTCCACATTTAGACATGATGTATATCAACACTGGACCCCTCATGCTATTTTTTTCTGGGTTTCCGCCGGCTTCGTGTGTCGCCCAGAAGGCGCCCGGTCGCCTCAAAGCCCAACAAAAAAGGGAGGCCACCCCAGAAAGTTGAGGCAATCTCTGAGGAAGGGCCCTAAAAAAGGGGGTCATCAACCCACAATTTTCGGGCATAAGGCTGGTTTCAGGGTCCAAAAAACCAACCCACGGAAGCCGCAAGCCTGGCTCAGGCAGTGGGAGCCTGGCTGCGCCGGGCTCTCGGGGCGAGGCCGCAAGCCAACTAGTGCGATCAATAGGCCACGAGCTGTTTTTGTTGTTTAATCTACCCAAAGGTAGGCCAGAAAGGCTGTTTTCTGTTTTTTGTTTTTTTGTTGTTTTTTCTTCTTGAAATAAATCAATAACAAACACATGTAGACCTTTTATGAAACACCCAGTGAAAGATATCGCGAACAATTATGTTTAAGAGTTTTCCTGGAATGCGGGGGTACTGGAGAAATTAAAAAGGTATGGATACAAGAGACGTGATGCCTGTTGTTTATGGGAGGCCACGAGGAAGCCACGACAAAGGGGGGAGGGATGTGTATGTGTTGCAGGCACTGTCAGTTTCTTACTCATGCGGTGCGGCCAGGGGGTTCGTGTAAGTCGGGATTCCGTTTCGCAGGACCTCCGTGTTGGCGGTTGGTTGCTGTGCATCGCCTGACGGAACTAAAAGTTGGCCAGCGCATGTCAGTACTGAGCACGGATCGCATGCCCGGCTCGAGGAAGGACGGGCGCTGAAGCACCAATGGCTTCTTGTGCCATGCTCCTTGCGTCTGGAAGAACTGCTTGAATGTTTCTCAGAAACTTGTTCAGCCTGTTCCCATTGGTTTACTCCTATCCTACGACCTGGCGAACGCCCGACTGACGGGCTATGCATGACTATGCAGCAGACATGGCCTTTCTTAAGTCGGTTTGGATGAACATGGCTGGGTTTTGATTGCAGGTTGGTTCTAATCATTCGCGGACTCATCCGGCTGGCTTGGGCCAGGTTGGTGGGTTTAGCAAGTCTGATGAGCGCCATTTAGGGGAAAACATGGGGACCCAAGCCCCCAAATGGTGGTTTGGCCCACTGGGTTTGCCTTTAAACCAGGGTATCCGCTCAGGCTGGGGAATATGGTCTCCACGCTGTCGAGAGGCGCTGCGGACTCGCCGCCAGAGTTGGGTTGCACGTAACATAAGGGCCGCTGTTTACTCCCATCATCTCATCATGATTATCCCGAATAATCGTTAAGTACCCCACAACTAATTAGTTCACTCCCACAATCATGCTGAGTTTACTTTACTCCCCAGAATCATCACTAACACTTAGAGTACCCCGCCCCGTTCTAATGATTTAGACCCTTATGTTACCCTTAAAACAGGCTGGTGTAAAGGGAAGCCAGAAGGTCCACCACTAGTTTTGGATCCCCCTACTTTGAAACATGCCCAGATACAAGGCGGGAGAAAGCTTACTTTCAGCTGAATCCTTTAATTTGTCTAAAGGAATGCCTTTGGGGACTGAGCTTTGCACGTCCGAATTTTGCCAGTTGACCTTTACACAATCTCAGACTTAGCCCGCACATAGTTCATGGGCTTTGACTCACTGCGCGCGAGCTACACAGACTTTCCGGGTTGGATCTGGGCAATGGAGAGTTGCGCAGCTATGCGTTCGGACCATTGCTAATTGGAATGACGGATTGACAACTTTCTGGCTGATTGATAAGGATGTCCCCGTTTAATTATTGGGGTTCATTACTTTTGGAGGGAACAACCCCCTATGTAACTAGGATGGGTTCATTAGTCCGGGGTCAGCATTGCATAGAAACACAGACAGAGGCAGAAATGCATTCTGTACACTCTCCATGCCAAGCCTGGGCGGTCACCGTCTCAACGACTAGTTTCGGACGTGCAGCCTTCCGGGCAATATTTGTCTTTCTGACGATGTTTTCATTTTTTTGCGAGCCCGTGCTTGTTTGGTTTCCCAGCCAGTAGCACGACGTGACAGTGTAAGAGCGCCCATTATGGAAGCTATGACCATGGCACACGGATTTTTGGTTATGGCAGATATGGCCTGTCGCAAGAGGGAAGCCCCTTGAAATGCCAACCAAAAGAGGTGACCCCTCCCAACAAAGAGAAACACAAGCCCAGGGGGCATTCCCCCCAGCCCCGGGACAAATCAGCTTTCAGCTGGGGAGAAGGAAGGTCACAAGGTCAGTGGGGCAAACGCTGGAACCCCCATTCTTGGCTGAAAAGGACCCCCTTTCCTTCTGGGGAAAAATTGGAAGCCCAAAATTGGAACAGGATTTCCTCAAAGGACCCCCTTGGCTTCCCCCAAGCCCCAGCCTTGAGCTTCCTCTTGAGCCGCTGGTCTTGCGAGGACCGCAGAGCTTGGAGCAAGTGCCCTATCGCAGCAGCGCCTTGGTACGATCTGATCCCTCGGTGCAGCTCGAAACGGATTTTTTTTTCGCCCATGTAACCAGCAGTTGTTGTTTTTTTTTGGGGGTTTTGAAGGTAAATGGATGGAATACTGCTGGATCTTGAGCCTGTTTGGACGAAGGCAAGTTTTACCACGCCAAAGTTGGTTTCCATTTGAACATATTTGAACCCATTTTGGGGTCCAACACGTTTTTCCGTGGATTTTGGGAGGAGTCCAAGTGTCAGGGCTTCAAGGTAGAAAGGAGCCTGCTTGAAGCGACTCATGAGATTTGGAGCAGTGCAACTCGCAGCAACGAGCCATGGACAGGTTCAAGTGAGTTGGATGTGAGAAGCACACAATCACGGCGCTGTCCGCCGGCATGGTATGACCCTTTAAATCCCTGGCCACGGATTCTTTCCAACGGCTTGTTTTGCACAAAGCTTGGTCAAGAGTTTGATCGAAACAAAGCTCAGCTTCATGAGCAAGTCGTTCTTGGTTCTGGTGCGAAGCACTTTCCAGTGGCTTTGCTCAGCAACTAGTGACACCATGTTTCAGACACAGCTGCCAATTGCCTACTGGGCCAGTGGAGCTCAGCTGATTCAAGCTGACCACGGCCTGGGTAGTCATAGGAGGTACTTGAAGCCTTGAAAAGTCGGAGTTCTGCAAGGATTCCTCAGTGCACTGACTGGAATTTAAGATTTCTGTTGGCCATGCGTCCTGTGCACTTCGCACTTTCATTTACCTAGTTTCATGGGGCTTGTATAAACCTTTATAGCCTTTCTGGTAGGCCAAAAGTCAATGGCTTTTGCAGAGTCAAGGCTAGACATCGTCTGAGTGACAGCAGCTGCCAGCGGGCAGGTAAGTTGACCTGTCTGCTCGCAAACTCGCTGATGGGGCCAGCTCCCCAGAATGGCGGGCTTCCGCCGAACGTGAATGGTCCTGGCCAAAAGCTTTAGCTGGGGTGTGCTGCGTGTGTACCCTGACCTATAGCTGGCGCTGGAATTCTGCCTGCATGTCTGGCGCAAGAGAATAACACACGTCAAGACATGCTTCGGTAGCCCAATAAAGTTGATGGCAGGTTCTAGAGTCATTCAATACCAGTGGTGCTATCCAGGATTGACAAACCAAATGCGTGACCTCACCAGAAGATGGACCAGGGAACTTCAGGCATGACAGGTTGTCCGTTGCTTTTTTGTATGCAGGTATCCAGTGTTGCATGGTCCAACATCGACTCGCGCGGATGGATCTCCTTACTGCTCAGCTCAAAAGTTAAGCTCTTAACTATTCGGGGCTAAAAAAGCCATGAGCAACGGATATAATTCCGTATATATATATATATATTTTTTTTTATCTTGCTGGTGCTCAGCAGGGAATGAGGCAACCCTTTAAAGTTTCCCTTAAAGGAAACTACCAGTTGAATGGTTTTGTAGGGTTATTCCCTCATTCCCTGCTGAGCACCAGCAAGTTATGTATTTCGGTGACTGAACGTGTCCCCCTAACGGCCGAACGTGACTGCTGTACCTTCGTCTCGGTCTTTGTTTGGCAGGGCAGAAGGTGCACATGACAAATTCTCAACGGGGAAAAAGAAGCCCAGTTTGGTGGTCATGTTCGCAATCGTAAACTACCAATCAGTTTTCCTGTTGAGCAGGCACGAGTCACTTGCAGAATGTTGAGCTAATTACATGGACTGCGCAGAAGGTCTTGCTTGAGATCGCCAGACACTCCCGAGGAATTGCCACACATCTGTCGTGGCGTGCGTGTCGCTGCCGCCTCAGTCAATGTTTCCATTCGGGTGCATGGCACCGCAAGTTGCCTGTAACTTGGCCGGATGCCATGATGTTTGTGTGTACCTGGAGTCTCCTTCTGACCCTTTAAAAATGGGTCCAGGCAAACCATTATTTTGGGTAACGACCCCATTTTTAGAGGGTCAGAAGGAGACTCCAGGAATGTGTTTGTGTGTTTGTGTTCGTGTGTTTGGCAACAGCATTTCCGCAATGACCCACTTCGACATGGGACATGTAATGGTTTCCGCTGCGTCACACAACGCGGATCCCAAAGAAACAATAAGGATTGAAGCTAAACTAAGCGGAAGTGTTTTGATGGCCGGGATATATCGCATGAAATATCATATTGGTGACAAAGAAAAGAAACATGCCCCTTGTATTGTTTCCGCGCTTTTTTTTGCAGCTCCTGTGCGGCCCGCACCCATCCCGCACGAAAAGCGACTCCGCGGCTCGCCGCCACGCGGGTTCCGAGGCCGAGGGCGAGCTACGAAGAGCTCACGGGGGCCACTCTGCACTTCGCCTCCCAGGCCCAGATTGCCGAGCCGTGAGCCAGGGTCAATACATGGTTGTTGTTGGGAAACATTTTACATTTTGCTTATGGTTTAGTGGGAACTTGTTACTTAACTTTTGCTCCCTTCCAATGTCAACCAAGAATATGTTTTGTGGGGCTCAAAGTCACTTCCTGAGTTCCCGGACTTTTGATACTGTTGGGTTTGGACCAGGACTTTACCTGGAGTCTCCGGATCTGACCCTTTAAAAATGGGTGCATGACCGAGCATGATTTTGGGGAGTGACCAACCGTTTTTTTAAGGGTCAGAAGGAGACTCCAGGTAGACACTTTTTGGGTTTGAACCAGTTTAGTGGCAACCAACAAGTTCGGTGACTGTTTCTGAGGGGTTTGTATTACATGCTGGGATTACACCCTCCTGGAGATTCAAACGTCAAGGAATTCCTGGTCATTCTCGGCATTGACCCTGTTTTGGACGCAAACGCCCGCAAATTACCGCAAACGCCTAGAAACAGGAAACGCCCGCAAATTGCCGCAAACCGCCCGCAACAAAAAGGGGCAACCGCCCGCAAAAAAGCGCAAAAACAAACAAAACACAAAACGCCTAAAACGCCTAAAACGCCTTGAGAACCAGAACGCATAGGAATTCCTCGGCATTGGAATCTCCAGGCTTGGGAAATGACCCAGAATTTTTCAAAATAACACGGTTTTATCTGGAAATGTGCCTAAATGGGGTCAATACCCAGCGGGTGTATTCCCAGGGTGTGATACAAAAGCCCTTAGACTGTTTCTGGCCAATCCACTTAAAATAGGGATCCCCCCAATAAAGGCTTTCTTCTTGGTTTGCCAAACAAAGAACTCCAAATGACCCACCATGACACACCCAAAAATGGTCATCGGTGAGCCATGCCATTGGTGACTCTCACCAAAATACCATTTGAAAATGATGGAAGTGGAGGATACTCACCTAATTCCATTCTCAAAGGACAACAAATGCTGTATTGACCGGGGTTCGACCGCCATTCTTTGCAGGATTGGCGCCATTTTCGAGAAGGGGTTGGCTCGATTCTGGTCGTACCACGCGGGCTCCGAAAGACAAAGTATACCTAGTTGGAGTTGGGGTCTCTCAAGGTGGTGGACATCTTTTTGCAAAGTTGGCATTTCATGGGAAGGCAACAGCAGGAAACCAAGCGTGTCAGAGTACCAGTGAATCCCCCTTGAGTCTTGGCTACCCGGTTCACAACTCCCCCACGCCCGCGTGCGCTTGCGAGTGCGAGGTGCGGAAGATCAAGACGCACGGGGTGAAGAACGAGGAGCTACATGGAGACATGGTGGGGGCCCTTGGGGGTTTGCGTTTTTGAGGATACTGGGATTGTGTTTTCCTGGGGCCTGAGGCGTTTTTTGAGGATACCTGGATATTTTTGTGCTGAGATTATTCTTTTCAGATAAGAGGAAACGCTAATTAAACCCCTGCAAAAACATCTTGCTGAGAATAATGAAGGTTAACCATAATGGAAGCTGGAGTCTCCGGATCTGACCCTTTAAAAATTGGGGGCATCTACCAACACTAAGGGGTCATGACCCCATTTTTAAAGGCTCAGAAGGAGACTGTACCCGGAAATGGAGGTTGGTGTAAAAGCAAAACACAGGGAAGCCCATTTGTTTGGATGGATTGTTCAGAGACAACTCTGTAGGTTCAGGAATATGGGCCAGAATCTAAATGGGTTCAGTTCGGGGGAAGCTACGACTGAGAGCCAAGATTTTGCCCGGCCAAAACCTGCATAATGCAATAGTATACATGAATTAATTCAAGGTCTGTTGGCAAAATTGCGAATTGAGCTTTCTATCGCTTCCAAGTTGCAAGGCTGGGTTTGGGAGGTCAACTGGGGGTATATGGCGCGTTTGTTCCGGACCTAATTGTGGCGCGTTGGGCCAAGCGCCCGGCATCAGAATGTCGCGCCAGGGCTTCAGGGACTGAACTCGTACGGCCAAAAACCCATGGGGACATGGCGCTCTCCAGTGATCCCGGATCCGGATTCGAATGGCACCGATTTCGGGGGAACCCGCAAACCAGCAAACCCAGAGCCAGGCCCCCCCGATGGCCGGTAATTGGCGTCCCGGGTGAAGTGCCGGCAATTGACCAGCGCTTGCTTAAAAATGGTTTTGTATAGTCACATAGATGTTTTGCCTTCATCAAACCCATAGAAGATCAGTTCCGAGAAACCCATCATAAGCCAACGCGCACCAACCATCGAGCCAGCCAACCACCGAGCCAGCCAAGAGACATACCAACACGTAAACACACGCCAATAGAAACAACCCACTTAAAAACACACCAACACACCCACAGGGCCACACACCCACAGGCCCACCCACCCACACACACACACACACATGCACACACACACACACAGAGACACACACACGCACACACACACACACAGTCGGGCGCGCGCAAAGGACGCATGCACCATCTTCCCCCCCCCCTCGCAGTGACCGAGTTCCGAGGTCCAGTCACTGCGCACGGAGGTGAGCATGCTGAAGCGCAGGCACGGTGCTTGCAGTCGTGCGCTTTCCCGAGCCCAGTGCTGGGTGCTGGCCTTCCTGCCAATATGAGCATTTAACTGAGAATGGCTGGGCAAAATATTGCGGAACCTCCAAAGGTGGTTGGGGTGGACGGTGCCTCTAAGAATCATGCCCACACGGTGGACCCTTTTTGGTGGGTATTTGACAGGAGAGCCGATCGGAAACCAACCTTTGATTATCGAAGGCAACCACTAGTGGGTTTTTTTCCTCCAGCCCCCTCTTTAAGCAGCCAGAGTACGACCATAGACAGAAGTTTGAGTGGGCATTAGACCTTTGAGGAATCACCCTGGTCGGGCCTCAAACAGCTTGTTCCGTGCTGCGTCGCCTTTTGTTTGACGAGCTGTCTACCCTCCCAAAAACAAACATAGAACCTGCACAGCGGTCCTTTCAAAAGGAACATGGTCTTTTAGGACGCCCTGTACAGCTTTTATGTTTGTTCTTGGTTGGTATCAGGAGCCGGCAAGCAAAGACTGAAATTTGAAGTTTCATTCACGTGGCCAGATAGAGCAACCCCTTCAGTTGCCAAGCACGACAGTTAGAGCAACCTGGAGTCTCCTTCCCACCCATTAAAAATGTGTCCCTGACCAACCATTATTTTGGGTAATGACCAACCATTCTTCAAGGGTCAGAAGGAGACTCCAGGAACCCCAAGAAGCGTAGCCTCGAAACACGGCGCCCCTCGAACCGCTCCGCCTGGCTCGTTTTGGCGCCAGGCTGGCGCAGGGAGGCTTGGACCAGGCCCAAGCCAGGCGCGGCGAAGCCGCTTGCGTTGAGCCAGATCCCAGCAACCAGGCCATACAAAACCAACAGGCCAGCAGCCTAACAGCACAACAGCCCAACAACCCTACAGCCCACAAAGAAACAGCTAACCAAGGTGTCAAAAATATGGCTGTGGCTCAAAAAACCGGAATTCCAAAATGGGTTGCCCGTGGAAATTTGGACCAAAACCTGCGGTTTGCCCCTCCTGTTTAATTGTGAGCCACATCCATATTCGGACCCTTTTTGGAACCTCCGCCTTGTGCTGCCTTTTAACGGGGATACCAAGACGGGCCCCTACGTTTAAGACAAACCTTCAAGTGGTGAACTGTCCACAGTGCTTTTTGGTACTTGGCCATAGTTCGTGACGAAAAGAGGCTTCATGGAATTGGTAAATGTCCTACAACTGACCCCACCAACAATTGCTGACGTTTGCATCCTGACACTCGTTTCGCAGAGTTGGGCAAGAGTTTGGAACCAGAATTCTAGTGCTACCTTCCCCATTCTTTCCAGGGATCCTGCTTTGTAGAAAACCTCCTGAAACCCAGGGAAACGGCCGATTCTCGAAAAGAACGATAGTTGGAAAGAATGGAACGGGGATCAACCCTCAGAAGAATCCGCGGCTTGCCTTGAATCAACGCATTGGAACTGTTTTTGTTGCTTTCGCCAGGTCCCTAGAGGCGCAGCTTCGGTGTGAGCAGTACCTGCAGGATCGCTGTGGAGGTGTTTGGCTTCGGAAATCCTGGGTCCCCCGGCTGCCCTTTTTCACTTTTTCTTTTGGTTGGGAGGGTTCCCCTACTAAAAAAGGCTACAGCAAAAAGTTGGTACCCTGATTCTAACCTCTCTGGAGGACCCAGCATCAGAGAACCCCTAGTTGCCTTGGCTGGCGCTTTGGGTTGGGTTGGGGATTTGAACGCCTGGTTCTTGTAGATGTGGGAAGCCACCGTAGCCTCCAAACCGCCAATCCAAGCCGCATAGAAGAGGGGCGCTGAATCCAAGTGAGCGTGTGTCCGTTTCTGGATGTATTCAATGGGAAGCAAAGGTCAACCCAAGCAGTCCAACCATGGGATAAATGCTCAAACGTTGTTGGGGAGGGAGTCATTTTAAACATGCCAACAGCACGAGTGCGTCATCAGCCCCAGGTTCTTTTGGGGTCTCGACCCTCCGCGCTCAGCTACGAGTCCCAGTCTTGGGATTCGTAATCATTTGTTTGTTGCTAACCTTTGGCCACGACGTCGATTCCGAACCGGAAAAGGTTCCTACCATGTTTCTTCCTAGACTCTCCATGACCCTTAAAAAATGGGGTCATTACCCAAAATAAAGGGGTCATGACCCCATTTTTAAAGGGTCATGGAGAGTCTACGTTTTGTGTTTTCAGAGGCACCCCAGCCATTTCGAGGGAATACCCTTCGGAAATACCGTTGCCGCGGGTTCCCCTATCTGACAACACCCCGGCTCGGCTTTTGGCTTCAGCCGTCAGGAGGAGTTGGGCCTCAGTGCCGAGGAAGTGCAGGCTTCGGGTACGTTGTGCACCGGGCGTACCCCGAAGCAAGGAACCACCTAGGACGAAGGGCAGTTCGAGTGCTTCTTGTTAGGTTCCAGCCCCCAAGAGTCAGCCGAAGCTGAGCGTCAACCTTGCCTGCCTCAAGAATTCCGAAGCCGGTCGAAACAGGAAGGCAGCAAAGCAAAGTTCACCAACAAACTACCAGATATCATTCACGGGACTTTGGGGGAAATCCTGTATTCCCATGAGATTGATTACAGTTTGGTGAGCATGCAATCAATCGTCATCCCCTTTTACATGAGATATGATTGTAACTATGGCTCTGAATTCTGTTGGTTGGATTCACCTAAAAAGTGACTGGTGGACATGAATCCCCACCAAAGGGTTTGTCCTCCAAAGGGTTTTGTCCGCTCATGCATTTTGCACGGTGCGCCTTGCCTATCGGCCAGGAACGGGCCAAGAGCGCTGAGCGGCTTCGTCCGGGTCTTCGGTTTTTCCGATTCGTTTAAAGCGACACCGGGGTCCCGCAAGGGTCCACTTTTTTTAATGATCCCCCCAAAACATACAAGACGTTGTCTCACTTTCTATCTTCCTGGACCTTAAGCTTCATGGGTTTGGAACATTTGAGTGGTAAACAAGACGTCCGGTTACTTTGTTCGGCCAATCCACTCAGGAAGTGAGTTGTCCTTTTGCCATGGCCGCCATTGCCGAAGTGTTGGGTGATGGTTGGCGCTACTGCTGTATTCTTTTGAAGCCCGGAAATCCTACATGGGAGCCACTGATTTTGATGACTCACGTCACCAGAACGACGAGGATTCAACCATAGATGCAAAAGTGTCCACAGAGATGCCGATGTGTTTGATCCCATGGTTGTCCACGCCAAATAATGGACTCTTCCGTCTTGGATTGGAAGGCTGCTAGCTATTGGGATTCGAGGTCGACAGCTGACTCGAGTGTTGCTCGATGGAGCCTGCTGGATGGCTGTTGAGCGCTCTTTGTGTGTGTGTGTGTGTCCACGTGTGCGTTTGCATTCTTCCGCACAGACTTACTTTCCCAGTTTCTTGACACAAGGTTGTTTGGGCAGATCATATGGTAAACAAACCATGTGGTGGTTGTATCTACTGTCTCCATATCTTGAAATTGTTTCAGACCAGACTCAACATATCTGGTTTTGAACAAACAAAGAGGTACTGTGGATGGACAAAATCCTGCACCACCCAAGACATGGTGGAAACCATTGTTTGTTGGCTATTTACGTTGGGGACTCATATCATTCGAAGGGGTTTCTTGGTGGTGCGAGATGGATTTCGCAACCATCCACAGTATGGCTGGTAAGTGGAACCATGGACCAAAACCTGCGGTTTTGCCCCTCCTGCTTAATGTTGAGCCACACCCATATCTGGTTTTGAACAAACAAAGAGGTATGGTTCGGGGGAACTCCATCCCCTCCACTCTCTGAGCATTCCGTCTCAGGCCGTCGGACCTTGCGGCAGCTGGGCCTGCGCTTCCCAGAGGACCCCAAAACGGGTGGAATTGATGGCCCATGGTTTGGAAGGTGTTGTGGAGGCCAACAGGAGAGCCACCATTTTGGGGATCCCATGGTTGTTGTTGGGAGGCATTTTACATTTTGCTGATTGTGGTTTAGTGGTTGAAATCCAAATCCACTTAACTGCTAAAAATTTCAAATTTGTTGCTTCCCAAACCCAACGCCAACCAAGATCCCCGGAAGCAAACCCTGGCCTCCAGAAGTTCGCCGAGCCACCGGACCCCGAGCCACTGAGACGCAGATGGTTCGTGACCGCCGCTTTCGCTTCGCAGGTCTGCGAGGGCTGCGTGTCGATCGTCAACGTGTCGGTGGACCCCTTGCTGTCGGGCCGTCTCACATGGGCCATGGCTCCGGGCGCCGGGAAGCTCAGCGGCAAGGTGTTCAATCGGACTGTTCAATCGGACCCCCCCCCCGCCCCAAAAAGACATGTTTGGGGCCCCCAAAGTTTGGGGGGTCCTTTTCTTTTGTTTGGAATGGGAACCCCCAAAAGAAAGAATGGTTGGGGGTCCTTTTTTTTATTTAATGGGAACAACAATAATGTTTGGGGTTCCTTTGGTTTTTGTTTGCAATGGGAACCCTGGATGAAAAAACCCCAGTTTACTAGTGGGTGTGTCTGGGTTGGTGGGGATTCATGACTATCGAAGGGGAACCCCCCCCATTAAAAGGAGACTAATAGGACGGGTTAGGGAGAATATTACCACCCCCAAACGGGAACCCTGAGAACAAAAACAAGTGACAAATTGTGGAAGGATGTCATGCACCAAGGACCCGCGTTATCAAGCATTGCGCCCCTGCCCACACTTCAAAACCTATCCAATGTTCCGACTCTGGCTCGCCAATATGCCCCTCACCATTTACTGCTTTTGCCAGCATGGTATACCTAGCCGGCTGTTCGACTACGTTTATGTCTTGTCTCAACTGCCGGAGGCTCATCTTGCTCCATCTTGTTTGTCTTCGATATTGCAAAGCCAACGCCTCTCGTGCAGAACATGTTTCTCCGAGGCATCCTCGTTTTCCCTTTCGATCGAGTGACATATCAGTATCATTCACCTGAAGCTCCATCCGCGGATTGGCGTAGTTTCAGGTCATAAGCCAGCCGCAGTTAGCATGGAACCCCGAAAACGCGAGGAGTCTCCTCTTTCAAAACTCCCATTTTGGGTTTTTGGGCAGAGAGAACCCCCAGTCAAGGCGGCCCCCCCGTTTTTCCGTGTGGTCGTCTGCTTGCAAACCAGGGGGGTTCAAATCCAAGTCCGCTGCAGGAGCAGTTCCGCATCGGCAGTGAGGGCTGCGAGATCTCGGTGGACGGCTTGGGGGTGGAGGCTGAGATGTGCCGACTCCACTGTGCCGGCCCCGGCGCTGGGGTTGGAAGCCTAGTCAGCTTCCTCCTGATTGGTGGTGTGAATTGGTTCTTTGGGGGATTTGAATACGTAGAGGGAAATTGGAAAACCCACGCCTCGAACCTCCTAACCATCAATGAGTTGAGGTTATGAAATGATGCGTTTGCCAACTAACTGTAGGGATGTATCACGAAACTGGCCAGTGCCCAAGTTGTGAAACAGCGCTGTTTGCGCAAAGGCCAGAAATGCTAGATGAACTGTATGGCATGCAGCGTTGCCTGTGCGTTGCCTTGGATTTGATTGTTGTCTGCCCGGGCTTCTGAGTTTGCATAGCATGTGTGACGAAAGATGGCACGGACGAGCCTTGAAAAGAGGAGCATTCCGAGTCAACTCACTTCCTGCGTTCCGGGACTTAGTAGTAAGCAATTTGGTTACAATTTGGTTACTTGGTTTTGGCTAATCCACGATGTCGAAAGTAAGTCAATGAGCGGAGCTTGTCCTTGGCACAAGCGCCCATTTGTTCTGCACGAACTGTGCAGAACGCATCCAAGGCAGCGTCAACGGCTTGGAGGCAGGGCAGGATGGACATTGTGGAAGCTTCTGTTTTTTTCCACAGATGTCTCCTTGTTAGCCAGTTATGAGCATAGACGGCGCTGGCTTCGTTGGTGCTCGTTTATCTACAGGTGCCATCACTGTGTCCAAAACTTAAACCACACCCAAGGCGCGGGCGGCAAAGCACGGCGCTGGATATCTCAAAGGATCCAGGGCCCTTGCAGTGGGGCCTCCTGGAATGAGACGTGGATGCTTCTCCTTTTCGGGCTCTCAGGCAAGATTCTTGAAGTGGTGAACCCGGTTAGACTGCAAGTAGGAACGGCTTGGCATTGCCGGCCTTTCGTCGCGCGTCGTTCTATTTGCTTTTTCTCTTGTGTTAGTTGGTGTGTGAAACAAAGGACAAGCGCAGGTTGTAGCGTAGGCCCCAAAACACCAAGTAACGGCCCCAAAAAACCGATGGAACCAGGGCTCGCATGTTCCAGCAAACTCGCCTGATGCCATCCAAAGAACGCGCTCTGCCTGGAGGAGCATGGGGCTTGCGCCGAAGCATCGGGCAACAAAATTGGGCCCTGAAAGGGGATGATCCTCGTCCAATGATGGAAGTGGGTTCCAGTGGCTCTCCCAAAACTCGAGTAGCCCAACCCCACGCTGCCGTCATTTGATTGGCTGGGTGCCAAATTGGCCCCAGAGGAATTCATTCTCGAACCGCGTGTGGCGCGGACTGATGCCCTTAGCCGCGTGGAAGAAATGGTGCCAGCTCCTTTTTTGTACCAAAGTCCCCTCCCGCCTGGGAAGCTTCTTGCTCGGCACCAAAACAAAAAGAGCTGCGCAGGTGATTCCTGTGCTGCCGGAGCCTGTTGAGCCCACGGCGGTCAAGGACCCAAATGCAGCCAACTGCCTTTTGGCCAAACATACCCTCTATTACCCTCTAAGGGACCACATAACCAAAAACAAATCGGCCACCTCAGGATGTCATGACCATGGGATACTTAGTGGGTTTAATGTGTCTCTGTTACCGTATCAAGCTTTGTTTTCTCGCTGTCACAACTATTTTAAAGATGTCCCAAGGCTCAAACTGCGATTTGCCCAGGAATCTGGAGACACACATTGCTTGTGATCAATGTTGGTATAATGAAATGACAGCACTGCCTTTATGATCGAGCTCTGCTACAGAAGCACGAAGGGACTCCTGAACAACTTCAGGGCTATTGCTCAGTGATCGTTGAACAACGACAGCCTCTGATATTTCATGTTTAGGACCCTTTGCCAGCAAACGGTGGGATCAACGGTTCTATGAGAAGTTGCTTGGGTGGCTGTGATTTACGGTGTTGTGTTCTTATGATTTCTGTAACATAATATCATGCTTACGTCTGCAATGTAGACGATAGGGTCATATCGTGATTGTGGGTAAGTCCAAGGATACATAATACCCTTCAGATGTGTTTGCTTTGAGGGCTGCTCAGCACTTTTTTGCTACCCAGCTGCCTCGCACTTTCTTTGTATGCGATTTGTTTGTTGGGTAATGTTGACCCTGGATTAATAATCCCGTCCCATTATTAGGGGTTGTTTGTTCCCTCCAAAATTAGTCTGAATCCCCACTAAAAGGGGTCACCCCCCAATAAAAATCCACCAGGGGTTCTGCTTAGTCCGGGGCTAACATGAGGAGCAAGCCAAGTGAGACAAGCAAACAGAACTCGGATCCACCGACAGCTGCTCTGCAGGATCCGGGCAGCCCCATGCGCAGGAGCGGTTGTTTCCACCTGGAGTAAATGGGGGTCATTCGCCAAAATAATGGTTGGTCATGGATCCATTTTGAAAGGGTCGTGGAGACTCCAGGTTTATAGGTTTAGACTTAGATACTGTTTCTCAGTTTTTCGGAGGTGGTACCCATTTTGGGGCTCGTGAAAACGGTCGAAAGGAAACTACCAACTTTGGGGTTTCCACTGCTCCCAAAGCTTGTGGCTGAGTCGTCTTGTTGTTCGAGTTGTTTGGACATCATCTTAGACTTCAATTTACTGGAAGGCACCGACCCTTCAAGGTGTCAACCATTGAGGAAACCATGCTTGTTGCTGGCTAGTTCCCATACGTGAGTGAGTGTCTCCTGCAACATAAAAGCACCGCTGAAGCGCTCGTCTTGACTTTTGGAGCGACGGTTTTTTTTCCACACTTGGGACTGCGACTCTCGCTTGCCACGCATTGCCCCTGGTGAACGTGTGAGCCAATCGCTGATCCGGAAGAGGACGGTGCATCAGTTCAAGAAATCCTGGAGGATCGCCAGGGCTGATCCCTATCTGAGCAAGTGTGCGTGTCGCCATTTTGCAAAAAACTGACTAGGTCCCCCAGTAGTGCTTGGAGGAGGGTTCTTATTCTAACCTCTCTACTGGAGGACCTATCTTTTTTTCCTTTGCTTTTGTGATGCCAAGGTCCATGCCGCTTTTGAAGAAAGCCAGTGCAGCTATTGGGCGCAAGGCATCGTTTAATCCTGAGCGTGTTCAAAGCTTCGGCCGGCATGGCCTCTCTTTTCATGGTTTAAACAAGGGGTTGGCAAAATCTGGAGGACTAATCTCTTCATTTTGTCTTCTTGTTTAAGGGAAACCCAACAAATGGTTTAAGCAAGGTTCTTTCATGGGCAACCCCTCCTGCCAGACGCCGGTCGCTCTTCAAGAAGGGCCAGGGCATGGTCTTAGTGAACGGCACCTGGCTGGAGGCCCTTTCGCGACGCACGTGGGGGGGAGCCGAATTGCGGCCAATGGGGTTCTGTGCCTCGATGGGTTTCGACAAAACAAGAGAAATGTGTGAAAGCCGTGAAGACCCTGGGGATGCGAATTGGTGTTGGCATCAGTGGATCCCTCGCCATTTTCCCTTTGGCCCTTTTTAAATGTGGGTTCCTTTGGCTACCCATACAGGTCAATGGATCCACATCACGGTCGCAGCACCTGAAGGGCTTCCAATTGGTCCACAAGGGAAGGCGCCCAAGCGGGCCATGGATCTCACTTCTCTCCCGCTCTTTGATCCCAGTTATGTGGATGGCTCGGAGAAAAGCTCATAAGAAAACCGGGAAGGCATGCAAATGTACAGCTTATGATGTACATGAACGTGATGTACATGGCAGCTGTTGTCCTGTCTCACTACGATGCGATCCAGGGCCCCCACGCCCTGCACACCGGCGACCTGCTGCGAGTGGGGGCCCCGGATCCGAAAATGCGAGGCAAGGGCCCTGGTGTGCAGGTGCCTCAGCTCCCAAAGCTTCCGCGAAGCATGAACAAGCTGAGGCTTCTTGGTGCTGAAGGCATTTGACGTGCTAAAGTTTACTCCGGTGACTGGGGTTTCTGTGGGGCTGCATGCGGAGTTTGATCGAAATGGTGTTTCTGTGTTGTTTCATAACGATCAAACTACCTGGAGTCTCCATGACCTTTTTAAACATGGGTCCATGACCCCATTATTTTGGGTAATGACCCCATGTTTGAAGGGTCGTGGAGATTCCAGGTAGACTTGATTGACATATCCTGTAGTAACATGTCACCAGCTTCTGTCCAGTTGCTGTTGCACATGTGCAGCAGAGCCAGCCGGATAAATCGTATAAATGCAAAAGCCGCGGCTCATCATGATACAGGTATGTGGCTACGACTTTGAATAGGGAACGACCTCAGAAGTGGCTGGCAGACATGAATCTCCACCTCAATGATATCCATGAAATGGGTGCCGATTAAACATCATACCCATGTGTCAAAGCTGGAGACTTTCAACCATGCTCTTGTTTGCTTGCCCTTCAAAATCATCATCTCAAACGGATCGGTATGTTTCTGGTCAGGCACAAATCCCCCCACATCCCTCAGTAATGTTGAGGTTTCCAGATGCCTTGTGTGGCAAAATATCCCGGCGGATCCGATCCCCACATCTGAGTCTATGCTTCTCTTGAGTTGGCGTTTTGTCCCCTGGTTGGGTTGCTGTTATATGCAACCCCAAATCGGAAATCACCTGCTCAATTTGTTGACACATCCCGTTTGGATGTAGAGGTCCGAGTGTCTAGTTGCCCTTGGCCAGCCTGAACACTGGGTTGGCTCGTACGACCCCACTGGATCTTTTTGGTTTGGCTGCTTCGTTGCCAAAGGACTTTGACTGTCTTTTTTGTTTGCTTGCTTTTTTATAACCAATCTTGAGTGTTGGGTGATTGTCACCAATCTTGAGTGTTGCATGACCAATCCAGTTGAAAGGTTCGAGTCCGGGATTTAAACTTCAAGCCATGGCAACGACCTTGTGCGAGGTGGGCAGAAGCCACTTCTTCCGAGTGGTGATCCCCGCGGCGGGGATCTCAGAGCCAAAACAGGGTCAATCGTCTTCTTTGAACCTCCCCTCGGATCACAGGGGTCAACTCCTGACCCTGCGTTGGTAGACGTACCCCTGCTTCTAAGGGTGATGACACCATTTTTGGTTGGATGGTCTTGGAGGTGGATGGGTTCAAAGTAGCCTTGGCTGCTTTTTGCTTGGATCTTAGGACTTTGACTTTTTGCCAACTAATGTGGTTTCCATTAAACCACTGAACACTAAACGTTTAGCAGGGGACCAGAAAGCAACCGAGTAGCGATGGTGTAGTCTACTTGAGAGCTTCCATGGCCTCACAGGCTCTTCAACCTGACCTCTCCGAAACCGGGAGTCTCCAACCGCCATGGACCCCCCCAAAGTCATGAGAACGTTGCCCCATTTGGAAATCGGGCCGTACCTGGAGTCTCCATGACCCTTTAAAAATGGGTTCATAACCGGTCATGGAGACTCCAGGTAGAGACTTCCAGAGGTTTTTGTTTCTGGCTTAGCGGCTTGCGGGGCGCGAATGATTGCAAGCCCTTGTTGTCCCCTTGTCCCATTGCTTGCCTTGTCCGAGGAGGGTGAGACAGTGTCGCGCCGTGCCGAGGAGCGGGGGGTTGGGGAAGTTGGACACAAGAAACTTAGGAGATCATACGTTGCAAAGAGAACCAACTTAATGAGCAGTATCTTCTTTGTCTTTCCAGTTAATGATGCATTGTATGTTTGTTGGGGGTACTTAGGATCCACAAGGCAGAATCTAGTGACGGCCGTTGCTAGCTGGTGTGCAAATTGCTTTACAATAAGTAAGGGCAGAGAACAAGGTGGCAAGCATCATCAGCCAAAAACAGTGTGTGTGTGTGTGTGTGCCTTTGTTTGTTTGTTTGTTTGTTTGTTTGTTTGTTTGTTTGTTTATTTGTGTGTTTGTGTGTTTGTGTGTTTGTCTTTTTGCTTGTTGGGGGTTGGTTTGAAAGGACACCAGAAGGAAAGCCGGCAGTTCTTTGTGTGAGGACGTGTCGGCCATCGAGAGCACCTTCGGGGTGACCTTCGCTCAGGAGCCGGATCTGACCTCGTGACAAATGGGGGCCAGCACCCTCCAAGGGTTGTCCATTGGTACCCAAAATGGCAACCACACAAGTTGGGCCATTTTGGGCACAAATGGAAAAGCCACCCTTGGAGGGTGCTCAGCATGACCCCTTGTTTTATGTTTGGTAGATGACCCCACTTTTACAGCGTCGCGGAGTTGCCGGGCAGCCGACTCTTAAAGCTTGTGTTTGAACTCTTGTTCATTGGGGGAGACTATGGTACACAAGCTCACAGCTCACTCGACGCAAGCGCTTCCCTTTCTGCCCCAGGATTCCCAGCGGTTGCGCGAGCGCGTCGCGGGAGACACTGAGAAGGCGGGAGAACATTGGGGCTGTGAAAGATTGAGAGACAGGCATATCACATGTCTCTTCTTCTGTGACCATATCAGTGAGCGGAAGGGCGCCATCTTGATGGTCGTGGCCGCTCGTGGCCTTGTGGCCTGTGCAGATCTTGCTCACGATCTCTTTGAACTCGCAGCTTTCAGGGTCACATTGCACACTCCATTCAAAGGTGAAAGAGATGCAGACGTATCAACGGCCCAAGATCTTCACCAAGGTTTCTACCTCGCATCACTCTGAGAGTGCACCGTGAGAAGGTGGTCTTCAAGATGCATCTATTGCAAGTCTTGCAGACTCGAATATACAGGATCCACTTGCCTGCTGATTGAAGCACAAAGTACTTAGTACCATGTGTTAAGTCATACCGCCGCGTGTTGGTGATAGCAAGCCATACAAATGCGCCAGGGGATTCATTTGCAAGCCTCACAACGTCCACCGTTTTTGCTGGGGTATTCCTCTCCAGGTTTGAAACATGGCGGGTCGGCTACTCCATGAGGACTTTGAGTGTCTCGTGCTCCCATGCTGGACTTGTAGCGTATGGGTTGATCAAGCGACTGTTCGAGCCAGAGGTTTGTTGGCATGGCTGGCCTGGGCGGTGCCAAAGAGAGTGGGCAGGCTTCATGGGTTCACCCCGACCCCGCAATTGAATTTGTCATGTGGCTGTGCGTCAAAACCAACGGTTACATTTTGGGGTAGGTGCACCACCCATTTTAGTCTATTTTAGTGGGTGGATTGGGATGTTCACTGGGGGTAACCGTGATTTTGACCCATGCCCAATTTGTCATGTTGGTGGAGGTGGTTATGGACCTTAGGTATGCCAGCCAGCTCCCATGGAGCCATGCCACGCTGTCCGTGCAGGTGCTTCATGACCTCAAGAGCCTAAAGCTTGCGGTGGACGAGGCAGGGCGTTTTTTTTTTTTTTTTCTAATGCCGGGGTTGCTGGAGGGTTTCTGTTTTCAGTGCGCCAGTGGCGTGGCAACTTAAAATCCGACTCTTTACAATGATGCAAGGGACAGAGACGCTTTGGAAGTTTAGATGACTGGTGCGGCAGCTCATTTGTTCCGGACGGTTCAGGGTAGCAGCTTACTGGTGTGCGTTGATAGTCCTTCATTCTCACGAGGTGGGTCCGCCCTCCTTGCCTTGCATGGGGCACATGAATGCAGACTGGCCGTAGGCTTCACAAAACGAAGCTGGCACCCCCATGCTGCCCTGATAGCAAAAGACCCTCCCCTTTTTAAGGAAATTCGGACCTCCTTACCACCCACCCCCAGAGTTCTCAGAAGCTTTCTGACCTCTAAGAAGCAGACACTCTTTCCTGTCCCAGTGCTCAAAGTACCTTCTGAACATGTATTTAAGGAGGTCTACATCCCTTCAGGTGGGGTCGGCTGGGGTAGCTCTTGTTGCGGCTATGAACTTGAATAGGGAAGCTTGTGGTTTGTGCACATGCATCACCGAACTCTGATGTCCACCAAGTTCGGGACCCATTACCCAAACCCGACATAAAATCGTCATCCCGACCCTTCTGGAATGGATCCATGACCCAAAATGGGGTCATGGATCCCCATTTTTGGGTCAGATCCGGAGACTCCAGGTGTCACTGGTTGCCACTGGCACACAATTTCTGGGACAGGCCAACGCCCTCACAGAAGAGCTTCGAGGGAACCAAGAGCTGGTCTTCAAGGCGCGAGAAGCCTAGTTGGTCTCAAGGAGAAATTCTCAAGTGGGGGGGGGGTTGCTTGGAGGGGGGGGGGGGGCTGTGGGGTTTGCCTAAGAAATTGAGATGAGCCAAGGGATTTGTTTCTCATTTGCAAGGCATGTTGGCTGTCAGCATACATTCCGTCGCGCATGGTGTTGAAGAGACAGAGGGGAACAATGAAGCACAGACTGAGCTGGACATATGAGGTTAGAGAACCCCACTTTGCAAGGGTTGCCATGTGGATTTCACCAGGCAGTGTGTGGATAGTTTTGCAGCCCATGGAGGTATGTCCCATTGAACGAACATGGCTAGGCTCTTGGCTTCAGGCATCGACACGTTTGGCCTTGTTTGTTTTTGAGCCAGGGCTTTACAGCACGACATGTTGCAAACCCTCTTAGGGGATCAATGTCTTGCTTATGGCGTCGTGAAGCAGTATCATTGTCAGAGCTACCTTGAAATCAGATGTCATGTAGATGTATAGGCAATACGCTAGGGTTTTTCCTCGACGCTGCTTTGAGAAGTTGTTTGATTTCCAGCATAGGTACATTTGACAGATTCCAGGGAACCCTTAAAAACATGTTGTAGTTTCATCAGAGCGACACGCATGTTTGGAAACCCGCTTTGGGTGCATTTGTTCAAGGCAAACTATGTTGGGTCCCCCAACTTTGTATGAAACTTTGGCTGGCTTTTGGGACTGCTTTTGGTAGAAGACAAACCAAAAA